CGTGACGACTATGTTCCAGGTGGTCTAATAACATACTGAATGGATGATAGTCATGGAAATAATCTGGATACACCCACTTATTTCGACCAAGTACACACCACAAATGAGGTCCTCTTCCTGCGGGGTGAGGCGATGGTAATAATACGGCGTGGTCGGCGAACTTTGGATCCACAATCTCCGCGTCAGCCCGCAAGATGTCGACTGAGTTCCAACGTATTCTGTGTAGAGGATCATCGAGAACATGACGTGCGATACGGCTGATGATGCCACCGGAATATAGCGCAAGCACACCTCGTGGAGAGTGAAGGAATCGGTCTCGGTGGGCCACATAGGACAAGAAATCGAGTCGAGATGGCCGATAACCCTCTTTGACGAACCCCAAGACCAACCCATCTCATGTATCTAGGAGCATATGGGATTCTGGAATTTCGCCAGTATGATATGGAATGGGCAACCGAGATGAACAAGTTCCGACAATAGATCTTCCCAGTCTTGAAATCTCAGTCGAATGAGGTGCAAAACAGTGGTCGCACTGAAAAGCAGAATCTTTTCGCCATGGTCGCTGTTCCTTCCACGGGGGGTTATCACGCAAACGCGGCTCTCGTGGACCGGAGCGTCTTGTTGTCGGAAATAAACAACGTTAATCCCCCGATCTTTCCAGAGGTGCGTCTCTTCTTCCGCCTGGGCCAAATCAAGCAACACTGCTGGGATTTCGGCTAGGGGTTTTGCATTTGCAATCTCCTGGAATAGAACTCGAGTCGAATTTGACACTAGGTACGATGAACGGAGGTCTCCGAGCACATTTAAACAGTTCTCGGATGTGATAACCTCAGGTCCTGGAGCGTCGAAGGATTGATTTTCTATATGACCAAAGCGTTCTGCTAAGACGACACCGCAATCATCCCAATTTGTCAGAGACTCCAGTTGCGTTGTCTCAAAGTCCATTCTTTCAGACTCGTAGAAAGCGGCGACGACATTGGCGGAGGCTCCACCTCCATCGTTCAGCAACAACGACATGTTATCCGGAAGATTTACGGGAAGATTTGGGAAGGCAGGTCGACCACTGGCATCCGAGTCGTCGGCAACATCACTGACACTGGCTATCCCAACCGTGTTCGACTCGAAGTCGCTCACTTGAGACTCGATGTCGTCAGGCTCCAGCTTGTCGTCAGGCTCCAGCTGAACATCATCCCCGACACCATTCGCTACAGACTCGCTGTCGAAAGTCACCGGATGGGATTCAAGTTGAGAGTTTGGAATTTCCAGCTGGCCCGAATTAGACTCGGAGTCATCGGACTGATCATCAGAACTTTGACCCGATTCGAGAGTTTTTGCTTGGCCCGGAGCAGAGTTCTGACTGGTTCTCGTCCTCGGTGCCGGATCATCTGCGATTGTCGTCAAAGCTGTGCTCTCTTCCCAAGTCCTGATTCCAGGACAGAGGTCCCATTGATTCGAGCCCACATCATAGACACGTTGATAGGGCTCATAATCTTTCCACACACTGACAGCAAATGAATGTGTTATCGGTCTGCGTATCAAAAAGCCGTCATAAGCATTCCACATGAAAACCTGTGTGTTCTTGAACTCGGACCCAGTCCTTGCATCTTCGTGACACGCTCTTGTCGTTTTTTAAGCTGTGCCTTCTCCTCCCAGGAATTGATCGCCGTGTTGTGTCTGGTGCGCCGCAGGAAAAATCTTGATAACTCTCGCCGAATCTTTGGCCGCTATTCGGATCAACCGGCGGCATTTCCCTTGGCGGCTTCTTTGGCAGTTCCTCAGCTTGAGCGCACGTTGCATAGAAATCAGCATTGCGGAATACTCCAAATCGGCGCCTAGCGTTGTCGATGAATGTCCATTCCATGATTGCATCTTGGCCACTAAGATTGCGAACTTTCTGTATGTGCTCTGATTGGACAGAAAGGTGGTAACATCGCATGGAGGGAAGAGCATTGAACAACGGGATCGGTGCTGTTCAAGAAGAAATACAAGGGTACACGAATGTCATTCTTCAATATCATGGAGAATAGCCAATCCAGAGACCGAGCTTTCTCGATTGCTGCTGGGCTTGAAAAGTCTAAGATACCTCCAATGGGTCCCGCGGCAATCTGGAAAACGACTTCTTCTAGTTCGTCCCACAGTGCCGCATCCACTTGACTCTCCTTGATATAGCGTTCGCGCCATCCTGGCATTTTAATGTCATCGAGAACTAGAGTCAATAATGTGATAGCCCCAAGCAGCGGGCGAAAAGCATGGAGAGATTGCAAGACAGCTTTGTGTAGATCTTGTGGGGATTCAAGGTCAAAGTGTTGTGTATACCCGAATGTTGATGGTAGAGAGTGCCACGGACGAACGTTAGATTTGAGTTCCGTCGGAGCCTTTGGCGCTTTCATAACATTTTGATCTAACCAAGTCAAGGTCGTTTCGCAAAAAAACCCTCGAGTCGGAGCCATTGATCACGCAAGTCACCTTTCATACCCCTAACTTCGAGCGTGCTGCGCACCACGAAAATGCGGGACAACAAGCTCCTCTTGCGGGGTTGCACCGATCTGAAAGTCCAGCGGCTTCAATAGAGTATTGTGCAAGATGTGGAAACGAGGCATAAATAACAAGTGAGGTAGGTCCATATTAAGCCAGGCCGTTTTGGCCATCTCGCCGTTAAGCGTTTTGTTCGAGGAAGTGGGAGGGGCTTGCCGCTGACTGGGGATGGAGTAAATGACAGCCCGATCGCCGTTGAACACGAAAAAAATTGCGGGCTTATTTCGCACAAGACCAGTATAATGTTTGGGGGAGGTCTTGATAACAGAGGTTAACGTCGAGTACCGGTTTGGTGGGAGCTAAGTTACCTTTGGTCGCTCCTCCTCATCAAGCGCTGAGAGGTAGCAGCCGCACAAATGAATTTCCGGACGTCGACATTTCGCATGACGCCATGAATGGTTGTTACCCGGCGTCTTAGCGTCTGAGCTAGTCTTGAGATCTGAGAAACGGCCCGACCCGACGTCTTAGCGTCTAAGCCAGCAACAAGAGAGGAAGGAAGAGAGTATCCAGCAACAAGGAAGAGAGTGTTCAATGTCGTCGTCGCTCGCTCGCACAACTTGAGCACGGTGAGAATGTGCTTGCAGCCAACTGTCAGACATGAGAAACGAACAGTGTTCAGCGTGTACCTTCGCAACACGATCCAGACTGAGAAAATGGCAGAATCGTGACCTTGGTGCGATGAAGTCTGATGAGGTGTGACGATAGGTGACGATGTGACGACTCGTGATGACGATGTGACGACTTCGGAAGCGGTCCCTTCCGATTGTTAGTTCGTTCCTTGACACTGCGAGCTGTTGGCGAGCTGTATCCACCAGCCGTGACGGTTTACACACTTTAAAGCCCTTTCGCGAAACTTTCGGACGTTGCGAGCTGTATCCACCAGCCGTGACGGTTTACACAGTACTTTAAAGCCCTTTCGCGAAACTCTCGGACGTTGCGAGCTGTATCCACCAGCCGTGACGGTTTACACTGTACTTCAGACGCCGCGAGGTGCCCCCTTCCGACCAACTTCTTTGAAACGATGCGAATCTACCAGCCGCAGTCGCATGTCCTGCACAAGATCCACGAAACACCAAGAAACCTTCAACTTGGAGAGCGGCAAGTTCTTGGCTTATGGGAGCAATGCGATCCTCATTTTTGGACAGTTATGAAAATGTGGATTGGACTGCGGGATGGGCCTTGTCCGATGAGACGGGCAGTCTCTATGACTGCCATTATCTTCACATAGCGCCCGGCAGGGAGGTCAAGGAATCAACCCGACCTGAACTTCCCCCAACTTCGCCAGCCAAGGTTGACCAGAGTAGCCTGTAATTACTTATGGACCAAAAGAAATAATTGTCGTGAAATAAATGGACAGCGCATCAAGTTGATGCCTCCATCTTTTCGCATGCCTCGACTCCCCAACGTTGTCGACACACATATTTTGACGACGCCGCTGAGGAGGAATTCAACCACCTACAAGTTCATTATTCTCTGGATGGACAGGCGTGCTGAGCCAGCAGACAAATCCATCGCCTAAAAAAAAGGCTCGCCTTAATCAAGAGGTCATTGAAACTCAACCTGAACTCGCTGACTGGATGCCATTCCCAGATGCGCAACTGGAGGACGTAAGAGAGCTGGTGGATACTGTGTCGTCGTTGGAGATTCAACTGGAAGAAGAATCGACATTGAAGAGAAAACGTTATGCATCGGTCGGTTGATACTACGACTTTATACAGAAGCTCATTCCCTTAGGACGATCCTATGGCAATGTGGCAACCACTGACGGCTCTCTTTCTGGAGGAAATGCTACGAAGAGACGGTCTCGGAAACCCTAACGCATGCCAAGAATGTGTGAATTGTCAAGCCAATCATATGGAGGAGACGGGGCTCCGTTTTTTTCGCTGCAAGCAATGTGGGGACGGACTCCATTGTGAGACCTGTGTGGAAGCCGCTCATCAGAAATTGCCGCTCCATGAATTGCAGGTATTTATTTCTTCACCGATTTTGTTACTTGTTTACCTAGCTTGTTTAGGAATGGACGGGTCACTTCTGGACGAAGGCCTCCTTGTTTTATGCCGGACCCATCCAGCATGGAGCTCGTGGTTTGGCGGGCTGTTATCAACTTGGTCATGACGGTGCCCCATGCCCATTCCCCAGTAACCGTCGACCGTTGGTGGTCATCGATGTCAATGGCATTTTTACTTTGGACGTGCAGTACTGTGGCTGCGTGAATCCGTTCGGATTCGACCCCGTCAGACAATTGCTTGAAATGCGTGGTATCCGGCCACGACAACAAACCCTGCGACCTGTGCAACCTTCAACGTTTTGGAGACATTTTCGCTTTCCTGCGCTCCATCGCAAACATCAATGTCCAAGACTATGTGCGCACGTTGGAGAAGTTGACGGATTCAACCGGACTGGAAAAGGTCCCAGATCGTCGCGTTGCTTTCGGTCGAATGGCTCGACAATACAGCTATCTTAAAATGATGAAGCGTGGAGGTCGCGGGCATGAAGCCAATGGAATTGTAACTACGCCGCCAGGGGCGTTGGCTGTGCGTTGCTGGGCATGCCCAGATGCTTCTCGTAACTTGCCTTCCGGATGGGACAAGGTTCCGGAGTCGAAGGCGTGAGTAGCTATTTAATCAAACTATTCTTGACCAACAAATGTGCAGATACTTGTATAAGCTCATGTTGGCATTCGATGCCAATTTCCGCCTGAAGAACAAGCTTCGTGCTGGAGAACGCATGGATCCGGCGTTGACCGATGGCTTGGGATACCCGTCACGATCTGGACCATATAAAGAACATATCAAAACGCTCGTTGACGAAAAAGATGTCAGTGCGCTCTAGTCGAATCTATTCCATGTTATGTCGATACTTCAGGTCCAGGCTTGTGCTGCGTTTGCTGCTCTTTTGCAGAAGGAGACCAAATTGACCACTGGCCTGAGAGTTTCTGGCGTAGTTGGTTGTGTCTGTGCACGGCACGGCCTCGTCACGTCGTCGAGGGATGGGAGACCTTCAACGTGGAGAACGGCAAGTTGCTTGATGCCAGGAACAACTTGGATACTAACTCTTTGTGCCAGCTATGGAAACGTGGATTGGACCGTGCTATCAACTCTGTCAGACGAGGAAGTTCTGTGGGTCTTGCTTGCATACGACATCGTATGTCACTGGCAAGTATACTTTCCTGAGCGCGTCGCACGAATGAAGACAACGGGCGTGGATATCGAAGAGATATTCACCAGGTGGACCGTATTCGCCTGCAATACGGACTGCCGGTCTGGCATGCTGAAGCTCATGACCCCAAATGTCGAATTCAGTTTGCGCTTAGGTACTTGTTGGGTGTTGGAAAGACGGATGGGGAAAGCACCGAGCGTTTGTGGAGCCTACTCAATCCCGCAAGTTGGTCGACAAAGGAAATGGGAGAAGGCGCCCGTCATGATGTCCTGGAGGACAAGATCGACCTGATTAATTTTGAGAAAAACAGGAGCATGGGTCAGTTAAGGTTTCTTTGAGAGTTTAAGCTCACTATTTGCAAGGGCGGACACTTGCAAGACGTTTGATTGTCGCTGTAGCAGAGCGTCAAAGGCAGGGCATTGAATTCCAGGAGCTGGACGACAGCGTTCCTAAAAAAAAAACGACGTGAATGGGCCAAGATGATGGATGCCTGGTATAAGGATAACACCCAGACGAATCCATTTGAAGTCCAGGGTGGGAAGCTCGGTATGCATGACGTTGAATACCTGTTGTAGCATTGATGACCTGTCTCGACAGCCGGGCCTAGTGAACGCGAAATAAGTGAAGAGTTGAAACGAGCTGAGGTGGAAGATGCACGAGCCGGAATCAAACCTTTGCTGGAAGGTAAAATGACCATAACAGCGTTCATCAGAGCGGGTATGCAGCTTCAGGCCATCCAGTATGTCAAAGTCTTCATTCCACACACTCTATTCACTATCCCCAGGCGTCGTATACGGACTGCTCTGAAGGCAAAAAAGTCAGCAGATCAAGCGAGCCAGATACAAGAATTACGTCTATCTCTGATCAAACAAATGCGCACCTTGAAAAACTTCAACTAACTTACATGCCTGGGGTTCAGGGTCTTCGACGCAGCGGTATAAATTGGACGCGGAGGACGCGCAACCGGAAAACGCAAAGCTTTATCTTCCGTCACAGTTAACCGCGGAAGAGTGTCGACAAGTCAGCATGGCGGACTTGATTGAGACCAGCGAAATTGCGTCGGGGACAGTGTGCAGATGCACTGGCTGCCTTACGAGGGAGGCTTCATTGAAGCAACACATGATTTGGTTTTCGCGGGGAAAACATGGTGGGGCAACGTGCAAGAACGCGCTCCGTCACTCTAATGGCTCGGATGGAAGAAGGTGTAACGAAGGCCGCTGCCAAATATACTGAAGGCTACGAGGCTCTCGTTCACCTCAAAGGCAAACGTTACGCTCCCGAAGTTTCAAAAAATTGGACAAGGCCCATTTGAACACTCGTATCGAAATCGAGAGTGACGAAGATGCAGCAAGAAGCTTACGAACAGCAGACGGATCGCGACCTACGAGAGAGGAGACTGCTGCAAAAAAGAAGAAAACCAAGACGGCGCCAATTTCCTGGATTTGGGCAGCAGGCGGGCAGGCCGACGGGGTTGAACTTCATGACTGTGAGTAACTATGGCTTGTTGACCATTTGCTTTCGGTTGAACGTGGTATCATAGCTATGCGTGTCGAGTGGGCAAAAGCACGTGCACGGAAGGAACGCTGGAACGAGGAGGTTGAATTGTTGCGAGAGGAGATGAAGCGGGTCATGCGATCATTGAAGTGGGAGGCTTCAGAATGGCAAAAACGAGCCGACGAAGTTCGTTCAGACGTTGATGGAACGACGGCGGCTGGAATCCGAGCTTATGCGCTGCGTAACGTGTACCTGCATACTGAATTTATAGTGCGCTTTCGAGAGGAGTGGGACAAAACAATGGGAGCTGCTGTCCGTCATTGGGCAGCAGAGGAGGAGCGGGAAATATTAGAGGGAACATTTATGGCAGAGGGAATGTAGAGAACAATGTTAAAATTGTATGATTCGGACCAAATCAGTCGTAATGATGATATCAAAGCTGCAGGATAAAGCGGAGTTCGGAGATCAGCGGCAAGGAAGCACGGAAACGGGTGGGGTTTGAGTGTTGTCAGAGACCTGGCAACACACAGGGATGATGGAATCGGATTTTCTGGCAGTTCCCGGGGATGATTGAAACAGGCTACAGCCACGGGTGCGTGTCTGAAGGTTGGCCTCACGCCACCCACTTCCAGACGACCGCGACGACCACCTACGACTACCCGCCTCGTCAAACTGCGGCTAATATGTACGCGTCTGAGACACAAGCTACTACCGGCTCCCACAAGCATCATTCAAATACGAGCGGCATTCTCGATCGCATGGGCACATCTGGAGCACAGCGTCCTACCACCCACTTCCATACGACCACCTATGCCCACACCAGTTATCCAACGACTACCAATGTTTTTCGACGGCATGGAAATAACTGAAGCACGGCCTTCGACCACCCATCCAACGATTCAGCCCGAGCGCCCAGTTAAACATTCGACGTCTTTGCCGATTCAAGCTAGGGCTGTTTCCAATCCCGCGATCTTAGCTGTCCCTTCTCCGATCTTATCTCCCGCAACGATTCCGGCATCACAAGCGCGGGCGATTGGTATTCATACGCGAGGGGATATCGCAAGCACATCGTTCTTCCGTTCTACCACACGACCTGTTCGTGTTTCTATCTCTGGCACAGAGCCTTGCTGATTTTCCTCGAACTTAGATCCCAGTTATCATGGTACCTAGCCGAAGAGCTCCGCTTGTCCCTGCGCCATCTCGGGTGGGATTTATTGTCATGCAAAGTTTATCTACTTACATCGAACTCAGTTATGCGTGGAATTGCGACTGGATCCATACAATGCGGCTCGATCTTATCGCAACCCGCAGCTTTCTGCCTCCGTTCTCACTCAGAAATCCAGTGCAAACTCCTCAAGCGGAGACTCGTCTTCGTCCTTGTCCAGTTTTATCTCGCTTCAACGCCACCACCATGGAACCCAAGCCACGGGGTCCTCGCAAACCTCTGGCAGCGGCTCCTCTCCAACAGGTGGATTCGGCGCTCAACACCGCCGACAACCAGCGAAATACCCGATTGTTGGGTTATGTGGGGTCTGTATACTTGGGCCACTCGATGGCGGTACAAGAGTTCTATCCAGACGCCTCCAACCTTGCACAATTCGAACAGTTTCTGCGTGCTGCGCAGAACTGGCTAAATGCACGACCCTCGGACTTTCCAACCGTCTCGGATGGTGCGCCAACACTGATCTGAGGATTTTCGCACATTCTAACTATCAGTTTAGCCGTATATGATGTATTTTTCAGCAGCATGCAAGACTACGTATGATCTTACTACCTCTGAGTGAGTACTCGTGCTGAAGCATTCTCAGATATCTCGTTCCGTCACCCAAATTTGGACGGGATATAGGACATACATGCAGTCGCACCTTGCCCCAAGACTAATTGCCGAGGCCGACGTGCACGAGCTTCTCCGAGGTTACCAAGCTTTTGCACAATACGGTCTGTTATGCTTGCACAGGCTCTAGTTGTCTTCTCACTTAATTATAGTCCAATGGTCATGTGGCAGATGACAACGAGGAGGAGGAGGAGAATTTCGAGGATGTCGAGGAGGAGGATGGCGAGGGGGAGATGACAGACGCAGTCCACTCTGGCGGGACAATTCATGTTAACCCCCAGGGTCAAGTCCTCGAGGGCGAGCCGCCTAGTGGCCTCATAAACGAGGAGGCCAAGGAGCACCGGAAGAAATTCGTACTCCGTCATCGACCTGAACACGGCGGTTTCACTGGACGTCATCTTATCTTTGCCATCAAGACGCTGCTCAAATACCGACTCCTTAGCCCAGTGTGCCCGGAAGCATTCGAAGAAGTTATACCGCTTCCGGTGATTGCGCTCAGTGCAGTCATGGTCAGTGTTTTCTCCTTGACGCTTATCTCTGTTTCACCTCTCATTCAGCTGATCCACGTTCTCCATACCATTGTCAACCCAGCGGTGCGATTTGAGACTTCACGCTACAAAATGATTTACTATGTGATCCTCGAGCTTCTGGAGGAGACTTGGAATCATCCAGTTCATGGGCTAGCTCTACGCCGCCTCAGCGCCAAATTGGTCAAAGCCCTCGGGAAAAGTCTGTACTTCCTATCACCATTCCAGAAGCTGACACCAAGTTGCAGGAAAACAACAATAGAAACTGTCGTCGACGTCTGCCAAAGTGCAGGCGCCTGATTTTTCCCTCAACTGACGTATGTTATTCACAATTTGTAGTCTTTGCCCATAGATACTGCACAAATAGACCCAATCCATTTTCCTGACTGCGAATATTGTCTGCATTACATGAGAGAGCGAATATGATCGCATCATCATGATCCTTGAGCTGTGTTACTCTCAAGTTCTTACCACCACCACGAGTTTCATCCAGAGCCAGGGCTTCTCAGCGCTACTATCGAGATGATAGAATGCTCTGCAGACTCCGAGGAGCGCAATCAATTCAAGGACGACATCGTCCGAGGACTAGCTCATATCGAAAGGTGCGTTACGCGTTGCACTCCCCGTTTCACTGGAATACTTTCCAAGCTGCTACAGATTCTATCGCGTGTTGTCCTTCTACCTGGAGGAGCAACCAACATTACTGACCGACCTTCTTACTGTTCTTATTCCTCGTAACTCCGACAAGCAAGATCATTCGCCTCTAATTCGAAACTACTTTATCGGGGCAAGTTTCTTGAACTTCTCCAGTCCTTTACCACCAACTCCCACAGCTCAAGACTGAGGATGTCAACCACGCCTACAACGAAGAGGAAGACTACAAGACCTTGCGGGATTCCACCAACAACTTCAGTCCGGTTGTCGTTAACATCGCGACTTCCAACTCTCGTGGCGAAAGAGTCCTCGTAGGCTCGGCCAAGGTCTCGCAGACGACCAGGGTCTATGTCCGCACTAGTCAAGGTTCACAAGAGCAGGGAATGGGAATGGACCCGTACCATTTCTGGCCTGCTGCTCACGCTGTCTGGGATGGGGCGGATACCCACTTGCATGCGGTCTACGGCTTCTCGATCGTCGAAATCGTCAAGGACAACCCCAAAGAGAAGACGATCTACTTTGGTGGTCTCAAGGGCCAGGCCATTTGTCGGCGCTATGCGCACATGACATACGACACGATGGACAAGGACGGAACCATCAAGACTCTCCCGCTTTTCTTGGACATCAACGTCAGCACTCCCAAGTACACCTTCAGCCATCTGCAAGGTCTGCTTTTCGCGACCCAACTCGCTCAAATCGCGCTTGTCGTTACCGAGAAGGCTGCTTTCGAGGACATGCGCATGAAGGGCTTTGTCCAGAAGGACTACGCGTTTGCGGGCCACAGTCTTGGCGAGTATTCTGCTTTGGCTTCGATTGTCGATGTCCTCCACATCTCCGCCCTCGTCGATGCCGTTTTTTCGGCGGTATTGCCATGAAGCGCTGTAGAGCGTGACACGCACAACTGCTCTAACTACGCAATGTGTGCTGTCAACGCAAGTCGCATTTCCAAAACCTTCACTGATGCGGCCTTGCGCGAGGTTGTCGATACATGATTTGACTTTGCCGGGTACCCTTCTCCAGATCGTCAACTTCAATGTCGAGGTATGCTTTGTTTTCTTTGCTGTTCTTGTTCTAATCATTTGTAGGGTCAACAATATGTCTGCGCTGGAGAGCTTGTTGCTCTGCAGACGATGACCAACGTTCTCAACTACTTGAAGATCCAGAAGATCGACATTGCCAAGGCATTCAATCCATTGTTTTCGCCGATTAAAACTCATTTGTTGGTTCAGCTCACAGAACAGTTCACCGTTGAGAAGGTCAAGGAGATGTTGGGCGACATCGTCGAGGAATGCTTCGGTCGTGCACAAGACCAGCAAAAGGCTCAGGGCCACATCAAACTTGAGCGTGGCTTCACTACAATCCCGCTCCTCGGTATTGATATGCCGTTACACTCACGCTACCTCTGGGTCGGAGTCCTACTCTTCCGAGCTTGTATGAGCTCGATCGTTCTCTTTCTTTATCTTGCTCACATTTTTACAGACCTGTTCAAGATGATTTGTTACGGCTTGATCCTGACATGCTCATTGGCAAATACATTCGCAATCTCATCGCCATTCCCTTTGCTGTCACCAAGGAGTGCGCGCAAATCATCTACGACCAGACCTCCTCCCGCGTCTCGACAAAGTTCTCAAGAAATGGGGCCAAGAGAACTGGGCCAGCGCTGAGAAACACCAAAAGCTCGCTTGCATTATCCTGTTTGAGCTTTTTGCGTATCAATTTGCGTCCTCCGTCTGTGGGATTCAGACTCAAGATCGCTGGTCGAGGACGAGGCTAGGGCAGCTGCTGAGTCTGAAACTCCCGGCCGCTGCTGTTACTTCAGTTGCTGCTACTGCTGGTGCGCCTCGGGCGGTCGCTCTTGCGGCTCCTTCTGGGCCAGTCGCAACTATCGACAATTTCCCTGTCAAAGTCATTCATGTTTTTACTGCAATCGTCGCGCAAAAGTTGAAGAAGAAAATCAACGAGATCTCTCTCTCCAAGTCCATCAAGGACCTCGTCGGTTCCAAGTCCACTCTTCAGAATGAGATTTTCAGTGATCTCCAACTCAAGTTTACCTCCGCTCCCGAGAAGGGCGAGGAACCTCTGCTTGAAGATTTGGCAAGCGCTTTCTTATGGCCACAGTGGTACGTTGAAGGTCTGCTTTTCGCCACCCAGTTCACTCAAATTGCGTTCGCAGCTCAGCACATCGAGCTGTATATGCGCTACCTCAACCGGAACTCCCGGGCCGGGCGAAACTGCTCTCGTCAACGAGAAGGCCAACGGTCTTGCGCTACAGACCAAGCCCGACAACGTCGCCAAGGAGCACGGAGACGTCTATATCGAGGGTATTCAACTCATGTTTGACCCCATCAAGGTTCGCCGATTCGACTTGAATTGGGCTCGTCAAGATGCCCTTCTCATGTTCTATGACATTATCTTCGGTCGTTTGACGACTGTCGACTGTGATATTACTGCTCGTTGCATCGCGTTGATGAACCGTGCCGATGCTGAAGTTTTGGCCTATATGCAGTACAACATCGGCCAAATGGACCCAACAAAGGGCGAGACGTACGCATTGGCCAAGAAACCCGGTCAGCAACTGATTGACAATGTCCGGGAGGTCATCGGAGAAGACCCGTTTTACATGGTTTGTTGTTCAAACGGGTTAATCTTTTTGTCTGACGTTTATCAACAACTTTAGTACGATTGCCTTGACCAAGCGCCACTGCTCGAGCCCCGTCGACTTGCCGTGTATCTATCCAAGGTACGAAGGGTAACTGATTCCTCTTCTCTTTTCTCACTTTCTCAGCAGAAAGACTCGCGATGGGACCCGTTTATCGCTCTGTCCAAGAACGGCAGACTCTTCAAGAATGCAATGACCACAGCAGCGGTCTTTGGATCGACCAAGATTGCCGAGCAACCAATGTCGACATTGCAATGCTTCACGCAGCCTGAAAAAGAAGTGAACGGTCGAAGAAGGAAGTGCAGAAGGAGCAAGAGGATTATGACCACAAAGCGGCTAATTGGTGGGCTTGTTACTCTTCCCAGACGAATGGGATAATGCCTCAAATGACCGGGTTTTACTGAAGGACTGTATACTCTCTAGCGTAATTATCATCACCATGATACTTTTATTTTCGCAGTATTGCTTGGGATGTCTACTCTGGGTTTGAGAACGATAGGAACCCAATTACTCAGGCTTCTCACGTTCCAACCTGCTCCTCCTTCCCCACTACCATCTAGGCTGCAAGGCATCTGCACAGTTGCACTCGCTGAATGTCACGCTTATGTAACATGACTTGCTTGACACTGAACACGTTCGCCGCTGCCTCGGACAGCAACAACGACGACAACGCAGACAACGAAGACGACGAAGCTGCAAATCAGAAGTCCGAACGCCCCTCGATGAAGTGCATGTGTAGCGATACCGGTAAAGCCTCTTCAATCACCTACTCTGAATCCAGCTCACATCTGAAAATAGACAACCTCTTGCCACACAAACTCAACACTCTGGTGTCCGACAGAAATGGCGGCTACCACCACGGAGACGCATCCTGGGCCTTTTATATCCGGGAGGCGCTCCAAAATACGCGTTATGCAAGCCTGACTTTACCTTGTGGCCGAGGAAGCAGCCCCAGTGAAAGCAGACAATATGCATGCCTTCTCACTACGGAGCCTGCTCGCTTTCATTCTGAAGCATGGGTGGGAGCTGGATGGCGACAATGTGAGACTGGAGTCTTCCCAAGTACGTGTCTTTAGTTTCACACTTGAACAACTTGAATTTATATCAATCGTCGCAGCGTGCATCCTCTGCTCAACATGCGCATCCGTCAATCCATACGCCTACGCGCTCGGAATAGCAAATTAGAATCTGCTGTAGTAGGTGGTCAAGCAGCGACGGTTGATGCTGGGCTGGTATCAAGGCCATCTTTTCCAGAAGGTTGGACTGGTGCAATAGGTGCTTTTTCCATTGTTTCCGTCGAGGTGCGAGACTTATTAAGATACACCCTCAGATTCTCATGCATCATCAAGATTTCGCTGGCGTCGAACGTGTGGCACCGCCCATAGCTTCATCCCGAGGTCCGCACTTTTATTTCATTTTCGCTTGTATCCTACTGACACCTGGACAGAATACGCGAAGTCGAACAAATTTTCTGGGAGAGTAACTGCCACAACTCAGAGAAGGTCAAGAATTCTCCTGAAGAGGCAAAACTCTCCAATCAGCTCCCTCTCATCACCATCTGCAATCGATTTGACGTTGAGCATGACTGTGTTCTGCATTGTGGTGCAATGAGGCCCTTGTCAACAGCCTAATTACACCGTCGACGAGCTTGCGAACGAACGAGCAGCAAAACCATTCATTCTTCCTTGCCTCGAGGCCCGTGTTCAAGCTGGTAGCCGGGACACTGCCGTTTTCAATGCCATCGCACAAATCGATATCTACAGCGACCACAATGCTGGAGTATTCCTCAAGCGCAACAATGTGTATGTCGCATTTGACAATCACTGATTTACTGGGCGGCTGACACACACGCAGCTCTACGATTCCACGGTGGTTGGCAGGTTCTGCGAGAAACGCGACCCGTTCTTCGCCTTGATTGTCCACGTCAAAGGCTTCTGTGGACGAGGGGTACATTGGGGCGATTTACACACGAGAATCCAAGGCTGAAGCAAACGAGAGACTTCATAAAGCGGTGTCAGTCTAATTTGTGGGCTCAAATTCTCTCCGATGATAATAGTCATTGTCCTCAGCTCATTCACCGGTCAGATTTCTCCCAAGTCATTATCTGCGGTGGTTGACGACTCACTAAGATTGTTGTGTGGTTCGCGACCCCGACAATGCATCGAACATCTTTCGCGGAGTCGGGTGGATGTCTCATTGCGCAATTTAATTGGCTTCATCAGGTTGAAGAGCGTTTTGTGGTGCCAACGGTGGTGGACAGAAGCATTCTCTTCTTCAATCGGAAGACCCTCTTCCCTTCATCGTCCTTCTTGAAGAAATCTCCCATTGCCACCAAGCGGCTCCTTGCCTCAGAAGACACCGCTTACTTTCTTGCCATCTCGCAACGTCTGGGTCAAAAGCCTGCCCCCTTTTCCTGTTCTCGATGCCATTTTCGAAGTCTGGTTCAAGAAGGTCAGTTTGACTTTACCCATTTTTCCTAATATGACTGATCTTTTTCTTTCGTAGGATCGAGGTCGTCTCCAAGACCAGCATGTTTGCATCCCTCGAGGTCTCATAGCCGTTAAACACTCGAATACCAAGGGCACAATATCCATGCTGAACTCATTCAACGTCTTCTTACCTTCAAGTACAACGGCGACGAAAAAGTCGCCACTATCGACTACCTCGCTGCCCATCCCATTCCTCCTCCCGTTGTCACTTGCATTAAACGCACCCAAGAGAAGAACGAGGTCACTTTCGAGTTCGTCGACCGCTTGCCTGTTACCTCGGTTTGGCTCAGAACCTTGGGCGGTCAAGAGCTGAGCTGGTTGCGTGCTTTGACCACTTCAACGACCATCGTTCAAGGCACTTCTTACATCGACAACCCCATCAAGCGACTTCTTGGCGCCACGAACAGGCCAGAAGATGGTTGTCGGCTATGAGAATGGCGCCCCCGTTTGGTCTCCCTCTATGGTAGTGCTCGTTCTTACGGCGAGCATAAGGAGTTGTTTGAGGCCGTTGAAATCAAGTACTCCCCGACAACGAAACTCATCGACATTACCATTTTCGAAGACCGTCGCGATGTCTCCGTTCCGCTCTCTCTCCATTCGAGTACAAGCCGTTTGCAGGGCTTCGCGCCCATTCACGAAATCGCGACTGATCGCAACACGCGCATCAAGTAGTTCTACTGGAAGTTGTGGTATGGAGACGATGCTGTCCTTCCTCAAATCGACATCCACGAGACTTCCCATGGACCCGAGGTCACCATCAAGAGTGCTGCTGTTGAGCAGTTCTGTGCCATTGTGGGCGACCAGTGCGAGTCTTTCTCAACCATTCGCAACGAGGAGGTTACCGCGCCAATGGATTTCGCGATTGTGACTGGATGGCAGGTTTGTTTGCTCATTTTTAGTTTCATTTTTCAGAGTTACTAACGCATTTCAAAGGCTATCATGAAGTCAATTTCCCCGCCTTCATCGACGGCGACTTGCTCCGTCTGGTCCATTTGTCTAACGGCTTCCGCATGCTCGACGGCGAGAAACCCTTCGCATTAGAGATGTTGATGAACCGTGCCGATGCTGAAGTTTTGGCCTATATGCAGTACAACATCGGCCAAATGGACCCAACAAAGGGCGAGACGTACGCATTGGCCAAGAAACCCGGTCAGCAACTGATTGACAATGTCCGGGAGGTCATCGGAGAAGACCCGTTTTACATGGTTTGTTGTTCAAACGGGTTAATCTTTTTGTCTGACGTTTATCAACAACTTTAGTACGATTGCCTTGACCAAGCGCCACTGCTCGAGCCCCGTCGACTTGCCGTGTATCTATCCAAGGTACGAAGGGTAACTGATTCCTCTTCTCTTTTCTCACTTTCTCAGCAGAAAGACTCGCGATGGGACCCGTTTATCGCTCTGTCCAAGAACGGCAGACTCTTCAAGAATGCAATGACCACAGCAGCGGTCTTTGGATCGACCAAGATTGCCGAGCAACCAATGTCGACATTGCAATGCTTCACGCAGCCTGAAAAAGAAGTGAACGGTCGAAGAAGGAAGTGCAGAAGGAGCAAGAGGATTATGACCACAAAGCGGCTAATTGGTGGGCTTGTTACTCTTCCCAGACGAATGGGATAATGCCTCAAATGACCGGGTTTTACTGAAGGACTGTATACTCTCTAGCGTAATTATCATCATGATACTTTTATTTTTGCACCGACCCCTCGACATTTGTTTCTCTTCTATAAAAGCTTCCGGCATAACTTAAACGATGTCCTATCTCACCTATCATCTTCTGTTTCGCTGTGCTTCCCTGGCATTTTGAATCTGCGTTACTTACACCAAATCCCCGTCTGCTGACTAATCACTTCTTCTTCTTCCTTTTGAACGGTCAACTGTGACCACAGGCAGGCCATCGCCTGTTGGGCTGGGTCCTCTACATCTACAATACCTCCACCCTCCTTACTTTTTAATGCCCAAGAGCAAGATTCAATGCCCATTATGCGGCAAAATTTTGAAGAACCGCGAAGATGCCCAAACTGTTCACGATCGAACCTGCTCTCGATTCAAGCGGCTCCACCAGGAGTCCGTTCAGTACATCCAACAACACTTGGCAAACCAATCTCAGCTGCCTGCGGAAACCCCAGTAATTATTCTGTTTTTTTATGCTGCCACGCAGTCCTGACACCAATAGATGGAGATCGACCATCCTCCGCCACCAGCGCTACCACCACCACCCTCCCCTCCAGTCACTCGACCGAGTGGGCTTCCCAACCGGCGCACTCGAGTACCTTCTAAATTCAACGACGCAGCACCACCACGACCTCCACGGCTTCGACGACGCGACGTTCAGAATCAAATATCCCAGCCTCCCCTCGCATCTCCGCCAAGTGCGCCATCTCCCGCGCCATTTGACGCTGCCCCTTCGCCTCCACCACCTCCAAAAGATTGGGTACAAACTCTCCCCAACGCGTTTGGTCTCTACAAGATTTATCCTCGTCGCCCAACTCACGATCCTGACGAGTCTGTGGGCCTCTCTGACCTGTATCGGGTGCCCAAACCTGGTGATCCGGCTCTCAAAACCCTTCCGCTTCCACCGGAGCCATGGTACTACCCCTTTCCCAACGAGTCGGTCGCGCATATGATCAAATACCATGTCGAAGAAGAGCATCCGCAGTCTATTGCTGGATTCGATCGGTTAGTTACGAACTTCCTGCATCCAAACGAGGAGGCACAGTCAGACGGAATATCTTTGCATGAATTGCCAACGCCATTTTCTACCCAAAAGTTCTTAGACCAGCTCGACAAGAACGGTATCACACCACTTGGTATCACAGATAAGTGGAAGAATGCTTCTGTTACAATCAGACTCCCTTGTGTGGGTGTCAATCAATCCGAAACTGCGGCGCCTTGTTTTACTGTCAACGACATCCTCCACCGTCCTCTGCTTGACCCCATCAAAGAGGTTTTGCAAGGGCCTCTTTTCCAACGGTTCCACACCACTCCATTCTCTCTGCGAGCTATTCCTGAATCCGACTTGCTGTCACCCGTTGTGGCCGATGACGCGCCAACCCTGAACGAGTATGGGCTACCTCCTCTCCTCCCTGACCACGAAGAAATCTTCAGTGAGATTTATACTTCCCCGCAATGCTCGAAGCCTATCACGCCATTCCCCAACCCCCGGCTCCTCAAACTCCCGATGATGCTGTGGAGAGTATCGTCGTTGCACTAATGATGTGGTCTGATGCCACCCATCTGGCGCAATTCGGTACTGCGTCCCTGTGGCCAGGCTATACTTTCTTTGGAAATCACCCCAAAGAATTTCGTGGCAAACCGACATCCAATGCTGGGTTCCATCAAGTTTATTTTGCATCGGTGAGGCAGCTGATCCTCGTATGAACGTCTCTGAATTATATCAGCTTCCAGATTCTGTCCGTGACTCATATCGTCAGCAATATGGTTGTGATATGCCCGACGAGGTATATACTCACCTGAAGCGCGAACTTATCCACGCGATTTGGGAGCTATTACTGTCCGACGAATTTATGGACGCTTACGATAACGGCATTAAAATCAAGTGTTGGGATGGGCTTGTTCGCTTGGTATTTCCGCGTTTCCTCATATATGGCGCAGACTATCCAGAAAAGTGGGTTCGGTCTATCTAAGTAGTTTTTACTGATCTGTCACAGAGTTCTCCTTGCAACGATTGAAGCTTCGGCGGTTGCCCTTGTCCCCGGTGTTTTATACAGAAGGGGCAGATCATGGAGACGGGCACCGTCAATGACATGAAGCGTCGGAGTAACATTCGAGTGGATGATCATCCACGACGGTCAACCATCGAGTCCGCCCGGGCGGCCATCTTTGGCAACGGAAATGCAGTTGCTGGTTCCGCCATCGACAAAATGCTCAAGGCACAATCTTGGGCGCCTACCCGAGCGAGTATTTACCACACGCATATCATTCGCTTTGCTCATTTGCCTAGAATGCTTTCTCAAAACTGGATACGATCAAGACGCCGTTCAATTTGTTCACAATGTTCGTACCCGACCTCTTGCATGAAGTCGAATTGGGGGTCGCCAAAGCCATTGTCATCCATATTATTCGAATGTTACACGCCTTCAAGAACATCGATGAATTTGACCAACGGTAAAAAATTTCAATCCAATCAGGGCGTGGAAGAACTAGTGGTGCTGACGGAGATGCTAGATTCCGGCAGGTTCCACCTTCGGGCGTAGTACCATCCGTTCTTTCTGCAAGAACGTGTCCGAGTTGAAATACGCTGCCGCCAGAAACTACGAAGACATCATACAGGTCGGCCATGCTTCCTACTTGACAACTGACTGGTACTGACTCATGAGCATTCTATAGTGTATTCTCCCGGTTCTCGAAGGATTATTTCCTAAACATCAAGCACTGATCGACAAACTTGCTTTCGAATTAGCAATCTGGCACGGATATGCCAAGCTCCGGATGCATACTACGTCTACTATCCAACTCTTTCGCCTGGCGACCAAAGATCTTTGCACTACCATTCGTCGTTTTGCTCGTGAAACTGTGAATGTCAAAACCTACGAGCTTCCCAGAGAAACAAGGCGACGAATGAACCGACCATCCAAGGCCTCTCCACCAAACTTATCCGTTCCAGCCCCGGACAATCTACCGATACCTTCTGCCTCATCGCAGTCTGCTACCCAGGCTGTGGCAACACCTCCGACCTCGAAGAAGAAGAAGACGCCCGCTCAGAAGCTGGAAAAGCCATTCAACTTAATCACATACAAGCTTCACTCAATCCCCGATTACCCCGATGCTATTGTGCGGTTTGGAACGACTGATTCTACTTCCACCCAAAATGTAAGAAGCATTTACTGGGACTTGGCGTGAGCTTATCTGAAATTTTTAGGGAGAAGTTGCACACCGTCTCGTGAAGTATCTCTACCAACGAACCAACAAACGAGAACATGTAAGGCAGATTGCGAAGCATGAACAACGTCGACGATTAATGAGGGCCATGTGGGAACGAAGGAGGCGGTACAAGGAAGCAGAGAAAGGACATGTCAATCCATCCTCGGCCTCGAATATTTCCACTTACGCCAACTCCACGATTTTCGCACAAGCCAATCAAAAACCGACGTGAACGCTTGCGCACTGTGCTCTGTCCCAAAGCTACGTATAGTCATTATACATACATGCCTCCCGAACAACATCATTACATCTCGGATTCCACCCGAACATCGATTCGTCTCTCAGACCTTGTCGACACGGACTTGCACTCAGACACTGACACGGATGGTGGAGATGGTCCAATGGTGATCTATTTCTCGATCCTACCGTTCATTAACTGATGCTGTGTACAGGCTATTGACCGACCCGATCCTGTAATCCCTGACCCTGCACTACATGTAAGGTCTTTATCTCGGTTTTCTTCCTTCACTCATTTGTGCTAGAATTTCACACGCAAGTTAAAGTCTCACCTACGACAAAGGCTCCTAGGTTCGGAGTACGATGGTGACGACACATGTTTCACTGATGAAGAGCTCATAAATGTGGTACTCGAGAAGGACACCCTCTATAGTCACGCCACTCTGCGAGTAAACTTCACCACTTACGATCTCCGAAGAGACCAAGACGTCATCAACCCCGGTCCCGGAAATTCTGTATCGTTCGGGTCAAGACCCACAGAACCGCCATGAACTCTGGTATGGCGAAGTCCTTGGGATTTTCCATACCCGTGTGCTTCTGGCCGACCAGCCGAACAAAGCTCGACGTATGGAGTTCCTTTGGATGCGGTGGCTGCAGCGCGATGTGACCTACCGATGTGGTCTGAAGGCTAAGCGCCTGCCTCGCGTACATTATATGCCTCATGACGTCCCGGATACATTTGGCTTCTTGGACCCCAGCGATATTATTCGCGGCTGCCATCTTATCCCAGCATTCGCTCACGGCCGCACTACACAATATCTTCCTAAATCTATGGCTCGACAGGCATCTGAACAAGACCAAGACTGGAAATATTTTTACGTCAATATGTAAGTAAGTTTTGTCAAGTAGTACACTTGTGTTTGACCAAGTTCATTCTAGGGTCGTCGATCGAGATATGATGATGCGGTATCACGACCGCGTCATTGGTCACCGCAAAACTCGAGCTCCAATAAGCAATCCCACAACAGAACAGGAGCAGATAACTGAAGAAGTTGTCGATGATGTGGTGGCTGATATGGTCGATGATGTGGTGGCTGATATGGCGGAGGAGGTCAATGTGGCGGCTGTTGTGGCGGAAGAAGATGAAGGAGAAGAAGGAGAGCCAGATGACTGGGTTGCAGAGGGTGCCGATTTTGATACAGATAGCGAGCATGAAGAAGATGAGGGTGGCGAAGACGAAGATTCACTCAGCCATGCTACCATTGTAAGCAGATTAGGTTATGATTCAGAATAATTGCAATGTGGGTTTTATCGCGCCACGCACAAGAAATCGTTGGGTTTAATGATGAAGAATTGCCATTTCACTTTGTCAATGCCGCCTCCCACTTATCAGTGATACTTAGTGAGAAAAGGTCATCGGTCAGGTATAATACTATTGCGAGGGAGTAATAAGGATTTTCTATACGGGCAAAGGTTTTGGCTCCCTCATAAACCGCTTGTGGTCTGGTGGTAAACTAAACTGGACCTTGCCCGGTCTTGCCAGGGGCTTGTAGCGGGTTTGCTGGCATTTGTTGGCATCAAAACCTGATACATCAAACCGACACTTTTTGTGATGCACCCATCGATTCCTCCAGTTTCTTTCTCAGCCGCTCGTTTGGGATCCGATTCGTCCCGCTCTCCATGCTCCACACAGTGTCGTCTGTGGCACGGTAGACTGCAAGGTACACCATTGCGCTCTTGCGGTCTGTGGTGACAAAGGCAAGGTTACGCAGGTCCTGGCACACACCCCAGAGTCTCAGCGATTGAGCCTCGTTACGGACGTCATAGTTTCCCTCGAAAAGTTCGTAGCCGTAGAAGTAGCCAGAATGGGAATGGGGTTTCGGGGGTGGTGAAAGGGGTTCCGTTTCTTGGTCGGAGCTTTCTATGTTTCCAATCAGGCTTATCTGGAATTGGATAGACTCACAGGTGAGGAAAGTCCTTGAATTCCGAAAACCATGACATGGCAGCACACAAACAAGTTGTAGTTCCCGTGACCGTCACGGTACCGGGAGGAGTCTATTGACGATCTCTCAGGCTAAGTATGTGTACAGTACAAGGTACATACTACCTTTTACATCATGATATATGCATGATATTTGACTGATGAGGCAGTACTACCATAGTACAAACAAACAAACTCTACTTGAGGTTAAGATTCGCTGATTGCGGTTTATGTTGATACAGGTCTATCATCATGACTGGTCGCCTCCAAGCGCTCCGGAAACCTAACATTCTTCAGTGAGAGGGGGCTGTGATTGGCCAACATTGAACACGCACGCTCGACAGCATTCTTCGAAAGATGATTGAGTGGGAAAAAAGAAACCAAGGAACGACCACATACTGGGTACCACAAAAAGCTCCCGTCGTCCAGATGCCACTGTGGACCCTCTGTGACGCCCATTCCTTTCTCCAGCTTCTCTCTGAGTGCCTTATTTGGGATGCGGTCCGTTCCGCTTTCGAAGCCGACGACGGCCTTTGCTTCAGTGCTGTAGGCCGCAAGAAGAACGAAGACCGTATTCCGCTCTGTAATGAGCCGGGCCAGACGACGCATGCCAGTCGCACAACTGATCTGATAGACCCGCTTCAGGTGAGTCTCGTTCTTTTTCGGTCGTAGTCATCCATAATTTTGTACCCGTAAAAGTACCCAGCATCAGAGTGTGGCGGAGGTGGTGGCAGAAGGGATTCCGTGTCTTCTTCAGAGCTTCAAAGGGTTAAGACTCGTCAACCTATTGACAATATCTTGTACCCACAGGGCAGGGAACTCTTTCACGAAATCTTCGAACTGTAACATGGCGGTTTATGTAGAAAGTACATCAACTCTGATGAGTCTGATCATGAGTGATTGACAGGCTCGGACCGTCGACCGCAGTTGAGCCAATAAGTATCCTGGATATCCATGTATCATCATTATTATTACACACATATTGTATTACTTAGTTTGCAGGGTCGTGTTAGATGTAGACAAGTCCGTGAAATTGTATGTAGTCACCTCAAGTATGGTTATGCGATCACAGTAGAACGTGTCAAGGTCCTCCCCCCATCGCTCCATGAATACGGCGTGCCACGTGACTCGATGTTTTGCGTTCCTTGAGTCATGTGCTTTGTTGAGGTCTGCGCATGCATGGTGACACGGACGGTGCTGCAGCGCTGGGCGGTGATGCGCCGGTGACGTGCGCTCGCGCGACGATATCGATGTGGTCTGCTATGTGGTCCAAGTTGGGCACATAGTGTACGTTAGGATCCCGCGGAAAAAAGGCTGAGACAACAAATCGTCCAGATGTAAGGTGGCCGAAAGCATTCGCCATTGTGGAATTCAAAACACGGGAGGCACTGAATGAATTTTCTAATGACTATGCAAGCAGAGCCATTTTTGTATGGCTCCAACATTTGATTATACCTGCATATAGGTGAGCAGCTGCAGTAGCCCATATACCACGTACGATTTACAGCATCCTATGCCGATTGACCTTGCCTCAGTTCCGAGTCGGTGTCAGGTCTGAAAACGGACGACGCACGGGGTACCAGAAATAACTTCCATCGTCGGGAAACCAATGTGGGCCTTCAGTAACACCCAACGATTCCTCCAGCTTTTTTCTCAGCCGCGCGTTTGGGATCCGATTGTTCCCGCCCTCCATGCTCCACACAGTGCTGTCCGTGGTGCGGTAGACCGCGAGATAAACCATCGCGGTGTCGCGGTCCGTGACGACATGGGCAAGGTTGCGCAAGCCCTGATGCACCGCAAAGAGTCTCATGCATTGCTCGTCGTTATTGACGTCGTAGTTGCCTTTGAATACTATGTAGCCATAGAAGTAGCCTAATGGTGATGCCTTCGGCGAATGGGCCTCCAAGGGGGGTGGAAGGGGTTCCGTGTCTTGTTCAGAGCTTCGAAGCAATTTACAATCAAGCTTGCCGTTCTGGGATTTGGGGTCGGAGTGGCAAGGACGCACAGGGCAGGGAAATCTTTGAGGTTTGAAAAAAAAGACATGGTGATGGTACACAATCAAGCTGGGAAAGTCACGGGGCCGGGGAACAAACACTCTACCGATTATCTCAAATCGCCCTTGACCACCATCGTCCTGTGGACTAACTTACTAAAAGTTACAAAGCTGGTCTAGCGAGGACATGATTGTCAGCATTGGCAGAACAGTAAGATATCAATAGTCCACCACATCGTAACCAGTACGAGCTCATACTATTGTTTTTATTTATCCCCGCTCCATACTGCTTTCAAAATGTACATATTTCAGTTTGGGTTAAGACAGTCAATACACGACCGATGGACACAGCGCAATTCAAACAGCTCACATCAGCTCCACCGTCTGGAACAGTCGCTCGACAATGTTAGCCCCTGGCGCGACATCGTCACCGGCGCCAAGCCACAAAAAATGCATAACAGCATAACAGCCCCACGGCAACGAAATGCCAATGATAATGTGCTCGTTGTGCAGCCCGTTGTTCACGACACCATCCCACCTTACTCGGAACTCCTGGTGCTCGTGGTAGCCCGGCTGCTTTTCCGGGGCACCGACGACTATCACCCCTCGAGGATTATCGACCTGTGTGAGTGTAAACGACAGGCAAGGGGTCCGCTCGGGAGGGTCGGCACGCCAAACGGGGACAATTTCTGCTTTGCGGCGACCGATTTCGTTCATGACTACCTTGCGAGTTGCGAATTCATAGTCTTCGCTTCCTGGCTGAAGGGCTGGAGCACGACCCTCTGATCACACAATGAATAAGTCTAGCAAACTGGCGAAAGAAAGCCAACCTGCTCGGAGTTCCTTCAGGGTTTTGCATTCAGCACGATGGGCACTCTTCCAATGGGCCTTTTGACAATCTTGCGAACAGTATGACACAGTAAAACAGCCACTGCAACTTGAAAAGTTATTGTTTGTATCAATATTGCGACACTGGTGCTGTTGTCAACAATAGTGCATACTCTCGAAAGAACAAACACACCGTGGAGCAACGCATATTCACGTCCATATCTGGAGAAATTGTACTCCGCTCTTTAATGAATCCTTTGAGCTGCTGATACAACTCATGAAATGTCTTGCTGTCCTTGAGCTTTTCCTCGAGATTGAGCTCCTCAATGCGTCGCAGAGAAGCCAGCAGTGGACGGAGGACGGATGGGTAGATCGTATACAGCGAGAGAAACTTGAGCAAGCCCTCGACCGATGGCTTTGCATCGCGATCTTCTGGCAAATCATCCATCCACTCTTGAGCACGCAGAAGAGCCGGAAGCAATCCAACTTGAATTGAATGGATGGTCCAAGCATAACCGGAGATTGACGGTAGCGTCCCATGCAGAAAGGTCAAGGCTGAAACAATCGCTTGTGCAATTCCTGTCGCAATGCCGTCGTCATACGTTGTCGAAGTAAGAGCAACGAGAATCCGAACGACTGTGCGGACACCAAATGCCGCGACTAGACTAGTTCGATATTGGGGGTAGATCACCATGTTGGAAAGCATTCGAAGATGATAGTCGAGGAGGAACAATAATGGAGGGCTCCATGGAGCAGGTTGGTCAAGGTAGACGCTAAGGTGATTAAGAGCGACACGAGCAGACTCGCGGGAGTCTTGTGAGTTATCGAACATGAGGCACCCAAAAAACAAGTCACTTGGTCGGCCAGGAACGTATGTTGTGATATCAAGAAGAGGCTCCGCCGCAGAAAGCAAGCGGTCATTCTTCGATGCATCTTTGAATTCGTCTCCATCCTCGAAAAACCAGCAAGAACCAAGCAGGCGGTAAACGGGGAGACCACCTTGGTCAGCGAGAAGAAGGTCGCAAATTGGAGGAAGCTTGATGAAACTGCGCAGGGAGGATATGACCATGACGAAGGCGTTATATCTGCCCGTCTCTGTGCCACCATATTCGAACTTGTACATAGGGTGGACAATCCAATCTTGGAACGTATATTCTAGCCACTTCCAGATGCCGGGCCAAGCTTCTACCAGTCGTGCAACGAACGGAGAGTCAACAGAGGGACGGAGAATGTAAGAGATTTTGGCGAGCATTTCGAGGGCGAATTTGGCGTGAAGTTGGCCCATAACCTGAGTCATTCAGCTCGAAGTCAAGTCACACTCAACAGCAACGCACATGGGTACAACAGCCCTTTTCTCTCAGAGGCACATCGGTTGCTTGGAGGTATTCGAGGCAGAAGGTGACGGTCGCATCGATGTCTTGAGGTGAAAGTTGTTGTGGGTCCAATGCATCTTTTCGCTGTGCAATCTTAGCGAGGGAGGCGTTTGTCAGACGCGAGTTCGGATCCTGATCAATCCTCGTCAGCAATAGATAGCGTTCGAAAAGTGGGGACTTGCCGCACAAGAACAGTCTTGGTCGTGGTTATGTCTCGCAGTCTGGTCATTTTAGCTCACTGGGTGTGTCTATGAAGGGTAGCACGCACAGAGCTCATGGTGGGAGAGGACAAAACGGGTAGACTTGAGAAGCTGGACCATGGGACAGACAAAGCAGTCCGTGTTACGTCACTCCCCAACTTGTCAACAGCATCCACCTTCAATTGTTGCTCAACCGTGTTCTGCTTCACCACTTGGCTGCACACATGGGGGAAGACAGATATCCTTCTTTGTATGTCCCCGTTCGCAATGGCGACTTGTTATAGCGAGGCACATCGAAAAACAGGCGTAAGCTGAACGAACTGTCCACATAACTAATGGCTTCGTGGGCTAAGAAAAACAGGACTTCAACTCAAGTGATAATATCAGTTGACCTTATGTAAGTGGAATATTCCGAAGACTTTCTACTGGTGGATAAAATGGTAAAGAATTTTCGTCGACAGTCGTTACACGCGGTTCTCATCATCTTATCTCCAGACCCGGTAACACATAAAAACGCAATCATGTCAGATTGCGTGCACTCCCCCTTCTTGGACAGCCATGAAGTCTGTGGTTGGACTCCTCGTTGCTCTTGCTGTATCGTTGTCGGTCTCTCTTCCAGTGGCGGGCGATCCATGTGCAGCCATTGCAGGGAAATCATTTGTGTTGGCACCAGATGCACTGGCATGTCTCAAGTCGTTTCCTTTCAACGAGACCCTCCGCCAAAACGTCCTTACCCACAATATCGCTCGAGTTTTCGACTTCTTCACCTTTGAAGACTATTATCTGCGGTCTCCCGTTCCCTTCCAAGAATCTACATCAAACATCCGGGCCGAGCTCGCACGAATCAATACGACCACATATGCGGTGCGCCTCGTGACCTTTGTCTATTTTTGACACCTACTTTCGCCAGACAGACTATGATTTCAACTGGGACTTGTATACCACGATCACGCAGCTAAACGACGGACATACCCGTGCGTGGAGGTTTTGTCGATAGTCTCAGAGACTCATGTCCAATGATAGGCTGGTTTCCTGACTGCTACACGTCATATCAGAGTCTTGCTCCAGCTCCCATCGTGTCTTTGGAGATAAATGGAGTCCAAGGAGTCTATATCATCCCAGACCTTGTCGATTTCATCAACTCACTCGGCGCAAATTACACCAATCTTATCACAATCGACTGGCAACGACTTGCGGGCGCTAAGGTGGTTTCCATACAAGGACAAGACCCATATGAATATGTCGACTTTGTCGCGAAAACTGTGTCAGGAAACTACCTTGACCACGGTGTCCGCGTCAACTCCGTCTTCAGTTCCTATCGACTTGTCGGTGCCACATACTCTCAGCGATTTGGTAGCTACAAGCAATAACTACATTTCAAGGCTCATATTAACACCAAGCTAGGTGACCTTGCAGGACCCACAGGTGTCGCTCACAGTTCCATCAATATGCAAGTTATCGTCAATGGATCGACCAAAGCAGAGGCAATCACCCTCCCCTATATTGCGAACTTCGCGGGGGCGGCTTTCACTAACCGCGAGTCTTTGTGTGTTCGACTCGTGTCACCGAAATACTCTGTGTTTGTTAACAAAATGCTAGCTGGGCTAATAACTGTGTTGCGAATGACGAAACGAATGGTGTCGACTTCAAAAACCCCTCGATTGTCCCCAGTCCAATGCGGCGCCGAAGAGAACCCATTGCAAGCATTGTAGATAAGAGCGTCTCTAGCGCTTTTGGTCTTCCTCCCCAGTTCCAGCCAACTCTTCCAGTTCAAGGAGATAATCAAGGCATTATGAAAGCTTATGTTCTACCAGGAAATCGTACTGGAGTGGTATGCTCGGCAATTTCCTTCTCTGAGTCATCGCTTATTGTTTTGCCGCTTTTCAGCTTTTTGTTGGCTCCTTTGGCGGCAACTTTAGCACATTCCAAACAGACGTTGTAGCTGCCTTCAAGATATTCAAGGCCTCCGGTGTCACGCAATTGATGATCGATCTGACAAACAACGGCGGCAAGCATCCATGAATCATCCCGTTGTGTCGCTAATCATATTTCCCAAGGTGGCTTCGTTTGCCTCGGCCAATTTCTACATTCGTATCTCGCGGGGACCATCATAGGATATCCAGGCTTCCAGTCGACCAACAGAGCTAATCCACTGGCCCGAAAAATTGTGGCTTCCGATATCAAACTCGGCCTCACAGACCAACTCAGCTTCTACACAGCGGATAACTGTTTGGCGTGCCATTTCAAGACGTCGAGACATCGCTAACTCGTTGCCAGGGGCATTTCTCAATGGAACTCAGATGCCGGCCAACTACAACTACATGGATCCCGACGTCCCTCTCGTCGTGAACGGAAAAAACGACGTGACTTCACAGCGTTTTCATGTACGGGGTCATCCAGGCTCGGATTCATGTTGACGAATCGTTCAAAATCTGGCAGGATACCTGTGAACTCAGCTTTGACGTCCCAATGCCGAAAACCCCGCCAATCGATTTAAGGTCAGTCCTCTCAGTCCATAACTTGAAAATCTCACCGAGGCTACGACTCAGGAATATCGCTATTGGTAGTGACACCTTGTTTCAACCTGAGCTCGAACTGAAGGAGTGTAGTGTCGAACGGGAATTGCGCCTCGACTTGCGCGATGTTCAGCACACTGATGTTCGAAAAGCACCAGACAAAGATAGCTGTGTTCGGTGGAAAGCCTAACGAAGACGTGCAATTCAAGGGTGGGTCGCTTTTTATGCCTGCTTTCTTTTTATTCTCGTTGCAGGTATGGCAGGGAACCAAGTTTTAGAGTGGTATCGAGGTTTCCTTTGTTTGCGGGTCCAAGTTGGAGCTGATGTGATTTTCCAGGATCGATATTGATTCAGAAATCAAAACCGCCAATCTGAAGGATGTGAGTCGATTCCTTACCTAAGCTTTATGTAAACGATGTCATGGTCACTTTTGCCTCCGGCATGTCAATGGTTCAGAGAACTCGACCCTATACTTATACAGACCATTGCCCTCCAAATTCTGTCCACGAATTACTAAACGAAGCCTCTACATAGGATCCACTCGCCCCCGCAGATTTGTGCGTTGAGCGCCTCGTTTGCGACGTCCCCGCTGACGTCATGCTGATTGCAGACTTGTCTCCGGAAATTTCCGTCACAATTGGCGTGCCGGTCCGTAATCCACTTTCTGGGCTTCTGTTGCTGTTACTCAACACCGAACCAAAGCATGGAGTTTCGTGGACGAGCGGCTCCCTATTGGTATGTGGACGACACCGTTCTCAAAAGAGCATAGATCATGGCTAATACCTGTGTACAGCATACGTTTCTGAGCTGCCAAAATGTAAGCGGTGTTCCACTGGCATAAGCATAGGTAGTCAGCAAGATCTTGGGCTAAGTTACAACATTTCCCCAGTTCGATTTGCCTATACATCGGAGACGTACAATAACCCGCAAAATCTATGGCTCTTCTCGTGAGTTTGCGGTCAGCGAGCCCGTTACTTCTGTGGCTAATGCGTCATGCAGGGAAAAGACACTATTCGGCAAGTGAATGTTAACGTTGATATGTACAAGCCAGTACAAGCCGCTGGCTATTATCTGGGATCTGTGTGTGCTTCGTTCCTGGTAAATATTTCATTGGCGGAGTTTGAGCTCCGCGCGTTGCTAGTGCTTTGTAAACTATACAGTGCGAGTTGACGTTGTTTGACAATGTTTCTGAGCAATTTCTGAGTGTTGTAACTCCCGGAGATGGATGCGTCCGAGATGCGTCGGGCTGCGAGGATGTTTGCAGAGCGGCAGCGTCAGCAGAAAACATAAGCGCCGCAGCCGAACAACAGCCGAACCACCTTCGCAGATTGGGCTCGGCAAAAACCGCTGAAGTCAACGATCATGAGCACTGTTTGACGGATTCCGATCCGTTGAGATTTTTTTTTCTGCCGCAACATATCGCAGGCGTCGCCTATAATAATATGCACTGCGATGGGCCAGCGCAAGTTTTGCTCTCCCTCACTTTCTCTCAGTCTACCACCACTCTCTACCATGAATGCCGAAGGCAGACCGAATATGGTGGCGGTCGTATACTCCCTCCGAAAAAATAGCGAACGCCCCATCCTCCGCTCTGCATTCAGCGCGTCAGAAATAGCCCACGATCGTGCAACCTCATCTTCCTGGGATACTCGAAGAATTAACTCTGCTCCTGTTACTGGCGCGAGAATCGCCCGGCCTCTCCCTCATGTTAGTCGACCTCTTCCCCAACTTCCGTCTGCTGCTCCTTCGTATTCCGCGTCGACTGCAATTACTCCCCTCGCACCTAGACGTGCGATCTCACACGCATCTCTCCGACCCTTGCCAGCATTACCAAACCCCAAAACGCCACGGCCAATGGCAACACCTATTCAGCCGCGATTACGACCACCAGCGATTGAACTGCCCTTGGGTCCGCGTCCTTTAACTTCACGATCACAGGCCCCCATGATAGAGCGAGGTCCTACACCGCCTCCCAAGTCCAGGACGAGCTCAAAGCTCATTCCACATCTGGATGGACAACCAAGTCAACCGCGTTTTGCGTCCCTTTCGTTGCAAGTCCAGATACCAACAACGCCAGTGCTCTCCCCCAGCGTCGACAACATACCTGAGCCGTATATAAGCCCAGGTCCGAGTACACCACTTGACCTGGAAGCCCTGTCGCCCAAAACCATTTACATGCCTGGGGTTCAGGGTCTTCGCGACGCAGCGCGGTATAAATTGGACGCGGAGGACGCGCAACCGGAAAACGCAAAGCTTTATCTTCCGTCACAGTTAACCGCGGAAGAGTGTCGACAAGTCAGCATGGCGGACTTGATTGAGACCGAAGCGAAATTGCGTCGGGGACAGTGTGCAGATGCACTGGCTGCCTTACGAGGGAGGCTTCATTCGAAGCAACACATGATTTGGTTTCGCGGGGAAAACATGGTGGGGCAACGTGCAAGAACGCGCTCCGTCACTCTAATGGCTCGGATGGAAGAAGGTGTAACGAAGGCCGCTGCCAAATATACTGAAGGCTACGAGGCTCTCGTTCACCTCAAAGGCAAACGTTACGCTCCCGAGTTTCAAAAATTGGACAAGGCCCATTTGAACACTCGTATCGAAATCGAGAGTGACGAAGATGCAGCAAGAAGCTTACGAACAGCAGACGGATCGCGACCTACGAGAGAGGAGACTGCTGCAAAAAAGAAGAAAACCAAGACGGCGCCAATTTCCTGGATTTGGGCAGCAGGCGGGCAGGCCGACGGGGTTGAACTTCATGACTGTGAGTAACTATGGCTTGTTGACCATTTGCTTTCGGTTGAACGTGGTATCATAGCTATGCGTGTCGAGTGGGCAAAAGCACGTGCACGGAAGGAACGCTGGAACGAGGAGGTTGAATTGTTGCGAGAGGAGATGAAGCGGGTCATGCGATCATTGAAGTGGGAGGCTTCAGAATGGCAAAAACGAGCCGACGAAGTTCGTTCAGACGTTGATGGAACGACGGCGGCTGGAATCCGAGCTTATGCGCTGCGTAACGTGTACCTGCATACTGAATTTATAGTGCGCTTTCGAGAGGAGTGGGACAAAACAATGGGAGCTGCTGTCCGTCATTGGGCAGCAGAGGAGGAGAGGGGAAATATTAGAGGGAACATTTATGGCAGAGGGAATGTAGAGAACAATGTTAAAATTGTATGATTCGGACCAAATCAGTCGTAATGATGATATCAAAGCTGCAGGATAAAGCGGAGTTCGGAGATCAGCGGCAAGGAAGCACGGAAACGGGTGGGGTTTGAGTGTTGTCAGAGACCTGGCAACACACAGGGATGATGGAATCGGATTTTCTGGCAGTTCCCGGGGATGATTGAAACAGGCTACAGCCACGGGTGCGTGTCTGAAGGTTGGCCTCACGCCACCCACTTCCAGACGACCGCGACGACCACCTACGACTACCCGCCTCGTCAAACTGCGGCTAATATATATGCACGTCTGAGACACAAGCTACTACCGGCTCCCACAAGCATCATTCAAATACGAGCGGCATTCTCGATCGCATGGGCACATCTGGAGCACAGCGTCCTACCACCCACTTCCATACGACCACCTATGCCCACACCAGTTATCCAACGACTACCAATGTTTTCGACGGCATGGAAATAACTGAAGCACGGCCTTCGACCACCCATCCAACGATTCAGCCCGAGCGCCCAGTTAAACATTCGACGTCTTTGCCGATTCAAGCTAGGGCTGTTTCCAATCCCGCGATCTTAGCTGTCCCTTCTCCGATCTTATATCCCGCAACGATTCCGGCATCACAAGCGCGGGCGATTGGTATTCATACGCGAGGGATATCCAAGCACATCGTTCTTCCGTTCTACCACACGACCTGTTCGTGTTTCTATCTCTGGCACAGAGCCTTGCTGATTTTCCTCGAACTTAGATCCCAGTTATCATGGTACCTAGCCGAAGAGCTCCGCTTGTCCCTGCGCCATCTCGGGTGGGATTTATTGTCATGCAAAGTTTATCTACTTACATCGAACTCAGTTATGCGTGGAATTGCGACTGGATCCATACAATGCGGCTCGATCTTATCGCAACCCGCAGCTTTCTGCCTCCGTTCTCACTCAGAAATCCAGTGCAAACTCCTCAAGCGGAGACTCGTCTTCGTCCTTGTCCAGTTTTATCTCGCGCTTCAACGCCACCACCATGGAACCCAAGCCACGGGGTCCTCGCAAACCTCTGGCAGCGGCTCCTCTCCAACAGGTGGATTCGGCGCTCAACACCGACAACCAGCGAAATACCCGATTGTTGGGTTATGTGGGGTCTGTATACTTGGGCCACTCGATGGCGGTACAAGAGTTCTATCCAGACGCCTCCAACCTTGCACAATTCGAACAGTTTCTGCGTGCTGCGCAGAACTGGCTAAATGCACGACCCTCGGACTTTCCAACCGTCTCGGATGGTGCGCCAACACTGATCTGAGGATTTTCGCACATTCTAACTATCAGTTTAGCCGTATATGATGTATTTTTCAGCAGCATGCAAGACTACGTATGATCTTACTACCTCTGAGTGAGTACTCGTGCTGAAGCATTCTCAGATATCTCGTTCCGTCACCCAAATTTGGACGGGATATAGGACATACATGCAGTCGCACCTTGCCCCAAGACTAATTGCCGAGGCCGACGTGCACGAGCTTCTCCGAGGTTACCAAGCTTTGCACAATACGGTCTGTTATGCTTGCACAGGCTCTAGTTGTCTTCTCACTTAATTATAGTCCAATGGTCATGTGGCAGATGACAACGAGGAGGAGGAGGAGAATTTCGAGGATGTCGACGAGGAGGATGGCGAGGGGGAGATGACAGACGCAGTCCACTCTGGCGGGACAATTCATGTTAACCCCCAGGGTCAAGTCCTCGAGGGCGAGCCGCCTAGTGGCCTCATAAACGAGGAGGCCAAGGAGCACCGGAAGAAATTCGTACTCCGTCATCGACCTGAACACGGCGGTTTCACTGGACGTCATCTTATCTTTGCCATCAAGACGCTGCTCAAATACCGACTCCTTAGCCCAGTGTGCCCGGAAGCATTCGAAGAAGTTATACCGCTTCCGGTGATTGCGCCTCAGTGCAGTCATGGTCAGTGTTTTCTCCTTGACGCTTATCTCTGTTTCACCTCTCATTCAGCTGATCCACGTTCTCCATACCATTGTCAACCCAGCGGTGCGATTTGAGACTTCACGCTACAAAATGATTTACTATGTGATCCTCGAGCTTCTGGAGGAGACTTGGAATCATCCAGTTCATGGGCTAGCTCTACGCCGCCTCAGCGCCAAATTGGTCAAAGCCCTCGGGAAAAGTCTGTACTTCCTATCACCATTCCAGAAGCTGACACCAAGTTGCAGGAAAACAACAATAGAAACTGTCGTCGACGTCTGCCAAAGTGCAGGCGCCTGATTTTTCCCTCAACTGACGTATGTTATTCACAATTTGTAGTCTTTGCCCATAGATACTGCACAAATAGACCCAATCCATTTTCCTGACTGCGAATATTGTCTGCATTACATGAGAGAGCGAATATGATCGCATCATCATGATCCTTGAGCTGTGTTACTCTCAAGTTCTTACCACCACCACAGTTTCATCCAGAGCCAGGGCTTCTCAGCGCTACTATCGAGATGATAGAATGCTCTGCAGACTCCGAGGAGCGCAATCAATTCAAGGACGACATCGTCCGAGGACTAGCTCATATCGAAAGGTGCGTTACGCGTTGCACTCCCCGTTTCACTGGAATACTTTCCAAGCTGCTACAGATTCTATCGCGTGTTGTCCTTCTACCTGGAGGAGCAACCAACATTACTGACCGACCTTCTTACTGTTCTTATTCCTCGTAACTTCGACAAGCAAGATCATTCGCCTCTAATTCGAAACTACTTTATCGGGGCAAGTTTCTTGAACTTCTCCAGTCCTTTACCACCAACTCCCACAGCTCAAGACTGAGGATGTCAACCACGCCTACAACGAAGAGGAAGACTACAAGACCTTGCGGGATTCCACCAACAACTTCAGTCCGGTTGTCGTTAACATCGCGACTTCCAACTCTCATGGCGAAAGAGTCCTCGTAGGCTCGGCCAAGGTCTCGCAGACGACCAGGGTCTATGTCCGCACTAGTCAAGGTTCACAAGAGCAGGGAATGGGAATGGACCCGTACCATTTCTGGCCTGCTGCTCACGCTGTCTGGGATGGGGCGGATACCCACTTGCATGCGGTCTACGGCTTCTCGATCGTCGAAATCGTCAAGGACAACCCCAAAGAGAAGACGATCTACTTTGGTGGTCTCAAGGGCCAGGCCATTTGTCGGCGCTATGCGCACATGACATACGACACGATGGACAAGGACGGAACCATCAAGACTCTCCCGCTTTTCTTGGACATCAACGTCAGCACTCCCAAGTACACCTTCAGCCATCTGCAAGGTCTGCTTTTCGCGACCCAACTCGCTCAAATCGCGCTTGTCGTTACCGAGAAGGCTGCTTTCGAGGACATGCGCATGAAGGGCTTTGTCCAGAAGGACTACGCGTTTGCGGGCCACAGTCTTGGCGAGTATTCTGCTTTGGCTTCGATTGTCGATGTCCTCCACATCTCCGCCCTCGTCGATGCCGTTTTCTACGGCGGTATTGCCATGAAGCGCTGTAGAGCGTGACACGCACAACTGCTCTAACTACGCAATGTGTGCTGTCAACGCAAGTCGCATTTCCAAAACCTTCACTGATGCGGCCTTCGCGAGGTTGTCGATACGATTTCGACTTTGCCGGGTACCCTTCTCCAGATCGTCAACTTCAATGTCGAGGTATGCTTTGTTTTCTTTGCTGTTCTTGTTCTAATCATTTGTAGGGTCAACAATATGTCTGCGCTGGAGAGCTTGTTGCTCTGCAGACGATGACCAACGTTCTCAACTACTTGAAGATCCAGAAGATCGACATTGCCAAGGCATTCAATCCATTGTTTTCGCCGATTAAAACTCATTTGTTGGTTCAGCTCACAGAACAGTTCACCGTTGAGAAGGTCAAGGAGATGTTGGGCGACATCGTCGAGGAATGCTTCGGTCGTGCACAAGACCAGCAAAAGGCTCAGGGCCACATCAAACTTGAGCGTGGCTTCACTACAATCCCGCTCCTCGGTATTGATATGCCGTTACACTCACGCTACCTCTGGGTCGGAGTCCTACTCTTCCGAGCTTGTATGAGCTCGATCGTTCTCTTTCTTTATCTTGCTCACATTTTTACAGACCTGTTCAAGATGATTGTTACGCGGCTTGATCCTGACATGCTCATTGGCAAATACATTCGCAATCTCATCGCCATTCCCTTTGCTGTCACCAAGGAGTGCGCGCAAATCATCTACGACCAGACCTCCTCCCCGCGTCTCGACAAAGTTCTCAAGAAATGGGGCCAAGAGAACTGGGCCAGCGCTGAGAAACACCAAAAGCTCGCTTGCATTATCCTGTTTGAGCTTTTTGCGTATCAATTTGCGTCCTCCGTCTGTGGGATTCAGACTCAAGATCGCCAATTCGAGGACGAGGCTAGGGCAGCTGCTGAGTCTGAAACTCCCGAAGCCGCTGCTGTTACTTCAGTTGCTGCTACTGCTGGTGCGCCTCGGGCGGTCGCTCTTGCGGCTCCTTCTGGGCCAGTCGCAACTATCGACAATTTCCCTGTCAAAGTCATTCATGTTTTTACTGCAATCGTCGCGCAAAAGTTGAAGAAGAAAATCAACGAGATCTCTCTCTCCAAGTCCATCAAGGACCTCGTCGGTTCCAAGTCCACTCTTCAGAATGAGATTTTCAGTGATCTCCAACTCAAGTTTACCTCCGCTCCCGAGAAGGGCGAGGAACCTCTGCTTGAAGATTTGGCAAGCGCGCTTTCTTATGGCCACAGTGGTACGTTGAAGGTCTGCTTTTCGCCACCCAGTTCACTCAAATTGCGTTCGCAGCTCAGCACATCGAGCTGTATATGCGCTACCTCAACCGGAACTCCCGGGCCGGCGAAACTGCTCTCGTCAACGAGAAGGCCAACGGTCTTGCGCTACAGACCAAGCCCGACAACGTCGCCAAGGAGCACGGAGACGTCTATATCGAGGGTATTCAACTCATGTTTGACCCCATCAAGGTTCGCCGATTCGACTTGAATTGGGCTCGTCAAGATGCCCTTCTCATGTTCTATGACATTATCTTCGGTCGTTTGACGACTGTCGACTGTGATATTACTGCTCGTTGCATCGCGTTGATGAACCGTGCCGATGCTGAAGTTTTTGGCCTATATGCAGTACAACATCGGCCAAATGGACCCAACAAAGGGCGAGACGTACGCATTGGCCAAGAAACCCGGTCAGCAACTGATTGACAATGTCCGGGAGGTCATCGGAGAAGACCCGTTTTACATGGTTTGTTGTTCAAACGGGTTAATCTTTTTGTCTGACGTTTATCAACAACTTTAGTACGATTGCCTTGACCAAGCGCCACTGCTCGAGCCCCGTCGACTTGCCGTGTATCTATCCAAGGTACGAAGGGTAACTGATTCCTCTTCTCTTTTCTCACTTTCTCAGCAGAAAGACTCGCGATGGGACCCGTTTATCGCTCTGTCCAAGAACGGCAGACTCTTCAAGAATGCAATGACCACAGCAGCGGTCTTTGGATCGACCAAGATTGCCGAGCAACCAATGTCGACATTGCAATGCTTCACGCAGCCTGAAAAAGAAGTGAACGGTCGAAGAAGGAAGTGCAGAAGGAGCAAGAGGATTATGACCACAAAGCGGCTAATTGGTGGGCTTGTTACTCTTCCCAGACGAATGGGATAATGCCTCAAATGACCGGGTTTTACTGAAGGACTGTATACTCTCTAGCGTAATTATCATCACCATGATACTTTTATTTTCGCAGTATTGCTTGGGATGTCTACTCTGGGTTTGAGAACGATAGGAACCCAATTACTCAGGCTTCTCACGTTCCAACCTGCTCCTCCTTCCCCACTACCATCTAGGCTGCAAGGCATCTGCACAGTTGCACTCGCTGAATGTCACGCTTATGTAACATGACTTGCTTGACACTGAACACGTTCGCCGCTGCCTCGGACAGCAACAACGACGACAACGCAGACAACGAAGACGACGAAGCTGCAAATCAGAAGTCCGAACGCCCCTCGATGAAGTGCATGTGTAGCGATACCGGTAAAGCCTCTTCAATCACCTACTCTGAATCCAGCTCACATCTGAAAATAGACAACCTCTTGCCACACAAACTCAACACTCTGGTGTCCGACAGAAATGGCGGCTACCACCACGGAGACGCATCCTGGGCCTTTTATATCCGGAGGCGCTCCAAAATACGCGTTATGCAAGCCTGACTTTACCTTGTGGCCGAGGAAGCAGCCCCAGTGAAAGCAGACAATATGCATGCCTTCTCACTACGGAGCCTGCTCGCTTTCATTCTGAAGCATGGGTGGGAGCTGGATGGCGACAATGTGAGACTGGAGTCTTCCCAAGTACGTGTCTTTAGTTTCACACTTGAACAACTTGAATTTATATCAATCGTCGCAGCGTGCATCCTCTGCTCAACATGCGCATCCGTCAATCCATACGCCTACGCGCTCGGAATAGCAAATTAGAATCTGCTGTAGTAGGTGGTCAAGCAGCGACGGTTGATGCTGGGCTGGTATCAAGGCCATCTTTTCCAGAAGGTTGGACTGGTGCAATAGGTGCTTTTTCCATTGTTTCCGTCGAGGTGCGAGACTTATTAAGATACACCCTCAGATTCTCATGCATCATCAAGATTTCGCTGGCGTCGAACGTGTGGCACCGCCCATAGCTTCATCCCGAGGTCCGCACTTTTATTTCATTTTCGCTTGTATCCTACTGACACTGGACAGATACGCGCGAAGTCGAACAAATTTTCTGGGAGAGTAACTGCCACAACTCAGAGAAGGTCAAGAATTCTCCTGAAGAGGCAAAACTCTCCAATCAGCTCCCTCTCATCACCATCTGCAATCGATTTGACGTTGAGCATGACTGTGTTCTGCATTGTGGTGCAATGAGGCCCTTGTCAACAGCCTAATTACACCGTCGACGAGCTTGCGAACGAACGAGCAGCAAAACCATTCATTCTTCCTTGCCTCGAGGCCCGTGTTCAAGCTGGTAGCCGGGACACTGCCGTTTTCAATGCCATCGCACAAATCGATATCTACAGCGACCACAATGCTGGAGTATTCCTCAAGCGCAACAATGTGTATGTCGCATTTGACAATCACTGATTTACTCGGGCGGCTGACACACACGCAGCTCTACGATTCCACGGTGGTTGGCAGGTTCTGCGAAACGCGACCCGTTCTTCGCCTTGATTGTCCACGTCAAAGGCTTCTGTGGACGAGGGGTACATTGGGGCGATTTACACACGAGAATCCAAGGCTGAAGCAAACGAGAGACTTCATAAAGCGGTGTCAGTCTAATTTGTGGGCTCAAATTCTCTCCGATGATAATAGTCATTGTCCTCAGCTCATTCACCGGTCAGATTTCTCCCAAGTCATTATCTGCGGTGGTTGACGACTCACTAAGATTGTTGTGTGGTTCGCGACCCCGACAATGCATCGAACATCTTTCGCGGAGTCGGGTGGATGTCTCATTGCGCAATTTAATTGGCTTCATCAGGTTGAAGAGCGTTTTGTGGTGCCAACGGTGGTGGACAGAAGCATTCTCTTCTTCAATCGGAAGACCCTCTTCCCTTCATCGCGTCCTTCTTGAAGAAATCTCCCATTGCCACCAAGCGGCTCCTTGCCTCAGAAGACACCGCTTACTTTCTTGCCATCTCGCAACGTCTGGGTCAAAAGCCTGCCCCCTTTTCCTGTTCTCGATGCCATTTTCGAAGTCTGGTTCAAGAAGGTCAGTTTGACTTTACCCATTTTTCCTAATATGACTGATCTTTTTTCTTTCGTAGGATCGAGGTCGTCTCCAAGACCAGCATGTTTGCATCCCTCGAGGTCTCATAGCCGTTAAACACTCGAATACCAAGGGCACAATATCCATGCTGAACTCATTCAACGTCTTCTTACCTTCAAGTACAACGGCGACGAAAAAAGTCGCCACTATCGACTACCTCGCTGCCCATCCCATTCCTCCTCCCGTTGTCACTTGCATTAAACGCACCCAAGAGAAGAACGAGGTCACTTTCGAGTTCGTCGACCGCTTGCCTGTTACCTCGGTTTGGCTCAGAACCCTGGGCGGTCAAGAGCTGAGCTGGTTGCGTGCTTTGACCACTTCAACGACCATCGTTCAAGGCACTTCTTACATCGACAACCCCATCAAGCGACTTCTTGCGCCACGAACAGGCCAGAAGATGGTTGTCGGCTATGAGAATGGCGCCCCCGTTTCGGTCTCCCTCTATGGTAGTGCTCGTTCTTACGGCGAGCATAAGGAGTTGTTTGAGGCCGTTGAAATCAAGTACTCCCCGACAACGAAACTCATCGACATTACCATTTTCGAAGACCGTCGCGATGTCTCCGTTCCGCTCTCTCTCCAATTCGAGTACAAGCCGTTGCAGGGCTTCGCGCCCATTCACGAAATCGCGACTGATCGCAACACGCGCATCAAGTAGTTCTACTGGAAGTTGTGGTATGGAGACGATGCTGTCCTTCCTCAAATCGACATCCACGAGACTTCCCATGGACCCGAGGTCACCATCAAGAGTGCTGCTGTTGAGCAGTTCTGTGCCATTGTGGGCGACCAGTGCGAGTCTTTCTCAACCATTCGCAACGAGGAGGTTACCGCGCCAATGGATTTCGCGATTGTGACTGGATGGCAGGTTTGTTTGCTCATTTTTAGTTTCATTTTTCAGAGTTACTAACGCATTTCAAAGGCTATCATGAAGTCAATTTCCCCGCCTTCATCGACGGCGACTTGCTCCGTCTGGTCCATTTGTCTAACGGCTTCCGCATGCTCGACGGCGAGAAACCCTTCGCATTAGAGATGTTGATGAACCGTGCCGATGCTGAAGTTTTGGCCTATATGCAGTACAACATCGGCCAAATGGACCCAACAAAAAGGGCGAGACGTACGCATTGGCCAAGAAACCCGGTCAGCAACTGATTGACAATGTCCGGGAGGTCATCGGAGAAGACCCGTTTTACATGGTTTGTTGTTCAAACGGGTTAATCTTTTTGTCTGACGTTTATCAACAACTTTAGTACGATTGCCTTGACCAAGCGCCACTGCTCGAGCCCCGTCGACTTGCCGTGTATCTATCCAAGGTACGAAGGGTAACTGATTCCTCTTCTCTTTTCTCACTTTCTCAGCAGAAAGACTCGCGATGGGACCCGTTTATCGCTCTGTCCAAGAACGGCAGACTCTTCAAGAATGCAATGACCACAGCAGCGGTCTTTGGATCGACCAAGATTGCCGAGCAACCAATGTCGACATTGCAATGCTTCACGCAGCCTGAAAAAGAAGTGAACGGTCGAAGAAGGAAGTGCAGAAGGAGCAAGAGGATTATGACCACAAAGCGGCTAATTGGTGGGCTTGTTACTCTTCCCAGACGAATGGGATAATGCCTCAAATGACCGGGTTTTACTGAAGGACTGTATACTCTCTAGCGTAATTATCATCATGATACTTTTATTTTTTTGCCGACCCCTCGACATTTGTTTCTCTTCTATAAAAGCTTCCGGCATAACTTAAACGATGTCCTATCTCACCTATCATCTTCTGTTTCGCTGTGCTTCCCTGGCATTTTGAATCTGCGTTACTTACACCAAATCCCCGTCTGCTGACTAATCACTTCTTCTTCTTCCTTTTGAACGGTCAACTGTGACCACAGGCAGGCCATCGCCTGTTGGGCTGGGTCCTCTACATCTACAATACCTCCACCCTCCTTACTTTTTAATGCCCAAGAGCAAGATTCAATGCCCATTATGCGGCAAAATTTTGAAGAACCGCGAAGATGCCCAAACTGTTCACGATCGAACCTGCTCTCGATTCAAGCGGCTCCACCAGGAGTCCGTTCAGTACATCCAACAACACTTGGCAAACCAATCTCAGCTGCCTGCGGAAACCCCAGTAATTATTCTGTTTTTTTATGCTGCCACGCAGTCCTGACACCAATAGATGGAGATCGACCATCCTCCGCCACCAGCGCTACCACCACCACCCTCCCCTCCAGTCACTCGACCGAGTGGGCTTCCCAACCGGCGCACTCGAGTACCTTCTAAATTCAACGACGCAGCACCACCACGACCTCCACGGCCCCGACGACGCGACGTTCAGAATCAAATATCCCAGCCTCCCCTCGCATCTCCGCCAAGTGCGCCATCTCCCGCGCCATTTGACGCTGCCCCTTCGCCTCCACCACCTCCAAAAGATTGGGTACAAACTCTCCCCAACGCGTTTGGTCTCTACAAGATTTATCCTCGTCGCCCAACTCACGATCCTGACGAGTCTGTGGGCCTCTCTGACCTGTATCGGGTGCCCAAACCTGGTGATCCGGCTCTCAAAACCCTTCCGCTTCCACCGGAGCCATGGTACTACCCCTTTCCCAACGAGTCGGTCGCGCATATGATCAAATACCATGTCGAAGAAGAGCATCCGCAGTCTATTGCTGGATTCGATCGGTTAGTTACGAACTTCCTGCATCCAAACGAGGAGGCACAGTCAGACGGAATATCTTTGCATGAATTGCCAACGCCATTTTCTACCCAAAAGTTCTTAGACCAGCTCGACAAGAACGGTATCACACCACTTGGTATCACAGATAAGTGGAAGAATGCTTCTGTTACAATCAGACTCCCTTGTGTGGGTGTCAATCAATCCGAAACTGCGGCGCCTTGTTTTACTGTCAACGACATCCTCCACCGTCCTCTGCTTGACCCCATCAAAGAGGTTTTGCAAGGGCCTCTTTTCCAACGGTTCCACACCACTCCATTCTCTCTGCGAGCTATTCCTGAATCCGACTTGCTGTCACCCGTTGTGGCCGATGACGCGCCAACCCTGAACGAGTATGGGCTACCTCCTCTCCTCCCTGACCACGAAGAAATCTTCAGTGAGATTTATACTTCCCCGCAATGCTCGAAGCCTATCACGCCATTCCCCAACCCCCGGCTCCTCAAACTCCCGATGATGCTGTGGAGAGTATCGTCGTTGCACTAATGATGTGGTCTGATGCCACCCATCTGGCGCAATTCGGTACTGCGTCCCTGTGGCCAGGCTATACTTTCTTTGGAAATCACCCCAAAGAATTTCGTGGCAAACCGACATCCAATGCTGGGTTCCATCAAGTTTATTTTGCATCGGTGAGGCAGCTGATCCTCGTATGAACGTCTCTGAATTATATCAGCTTCCAGATTCTGTCCGTGACTCATATCGTCAGCAATATGGTTGTGATATGCCCGACGAGGTATATACTCACCTGAAGCGCGAACTTATCCACGCGATTTGGGAGCTATTACTGTCCGGCGAATTTATGGACGCTTACGATAACGGCATTAAAATCAAGTGTTGGGATGGGCTTGTTCGCTTGGTATTTCCGCGTTTCCTCATATATATGGCAGACTATCCAGAAAAGTGGGTTCGGTCTATCTAAGTAGTTTTTACTGATCTGTCACAGAGTTCTCCTTGCAACGATTCGAAGCTTCGGCGGTTGCCCTTGTCCCCGGTGTTTTATACAGAAGGGGCAGATCATGGAGACGGGCACCGTCAATGACATGAAGCGTCGGAGTAACATTCGAGTGGATGATCATCCACGACGGTCAACCATCGAGTCCGCCCGGGCGGCCATCTTTGGCAACGGAAATGCAGTTGCTGGTTCCGCCATCGACAAAATGCTCAAGGCACAATCTTGGGCGCCTACCCGGCGAGTATTTACCACACGCATATCATTCGCTTTGCTCATTTGCCTAGAATGCTTTCTCAAAACTGGATACGATCAAGACGCCGTTCAATTTGTTCACAATGTTCGTACCCGACCTCTTGCATGAAGTCGAATTGGGGGTCGCCAAAGCCATTGTCATCCATATTATTCGAATGTTACACGCCTTCAAGAACATCGATGAATTTGACCAACGGTAAAAAATTTCAATCCAATCAGGGCGTGGAAGAACTAGTGGTGCTGACGGAGATGCTAGATTCCGGCAGGTTCCCACCTTCGGGCGTAGTACCATCCGTTCTTTCTGCAAGAACGTGTCCGAGTTGAAGTACGCTGCCGCCAGAAACTACGAAGACATCATACAGGTCGGCCATGCTTCCTACTTGACAACTGACTGGTACTGACTCATGAGCATTCTATAGTGTATTCTCCCGGTTCTCGAAGGATTATTTCCTAAACATCAAGCACTGATCGACAAACTTGCTTTCGAATTAGCAATCTGGCACGGATATGCCAAGCTCCGGATGCATACTACGTCTACTATCCAACTCTTTCGCCTGGCGACCAAAGATCTTTTGCACTACCATTCGTCGTTTTGCTCGTGAAACTGTGAATGTCAAAACCTACGAGCTTCCCAGAGAAACAAGGCGACGAATGAACCGACCATCCAAGGCCTCTCCACCAAACTTATCCGTTCCAGCCCCGGACAATCTACCGATACCTTCTGCCTCATCGCAGTCTGCTACCCAGGCTGTGGCAACACCTCCGACCTCGAAGAAGAAGAAGACGCCCGCTCAGAAGCTGGAAAAGCCATTCAACTTAATCACATACAAGCTTCACTCAATCCCCGATTACCCCGATGCTATTGTGCGGTTTGGAACGACTGATTCTACTTCCACCCAAAATGTAAGAAGCATTTACTGGGACTTGGCGTGAGCTTATCTGAAATTTTTAGGGAGAAGTTGCACACCGTCTCGTGAAGTATCTCTACCAACGAACCAACAAACGAGAACATGTAAGGCAGATTGCGAAGCATGAACAACGTCGACGATTAATGAGGGCCATGTGGGAACGAAGGAGGCGGTACAAGGAAGCAGAGAAAGGACATGTCAATCCATCCTCGGCCTCGAATATTTCCACTTACGCCAACTCCACGATTTCGCACAAGCCAATCAAAAACCGACGTGAACGCTTGCGCACTGTGCTCTGTCCCAAAGCTACGTATAGTCATTATACATACATGCCTCCCGAACAACATCATTACATCTCGGATTCCACCCGAACATCGATTCGTCTCTCAGACCTTGTCGACACGGACTTGCACTCAGACACTGACACGGATGGTGGAGATGGTCCAATGGTGATCTATTTCTCGATCCTACCGTTCATTAACTGATGCTGTGTACAGGCTATTGACCGACCCGATCCTGTAATCCCTGACCCTGCACTACATGTAAGGTCTTTATCTCGGTTTTCTTCCTTCACTCATTTGTGCTAGAATTCTCACACAAGTTAAAGTCTCACCTACGACAAAGGCTCCTAGGTTCGAGATACGATGGTGACGACACATGTTTCACTGATGAAGAGCTCATAAATGTGGTACTCGAGAAGGACACCCTCTATAGTCACGCCACTCTGCGAGTAAACTTCACCACTTACGATCTCCGAAGAGACCAAGACGTCATCAACCCCGGTCCCGGAAATTCTGTATCGTTGCGGGTCAAGACCCACAGAACCGCCATGAACTCTGGTATGGCGAAGTCCTTGGGATTTTCCATACCCGTGTGCTTCTGGCCGACCAGCCGAACAAAGCTCGACGTATGGAGTTCCTTTGGATGCGGTGGCTGCAGCGCGATGTGACCTACCGATGTGGTCTGAAGGCTAAGCGCCTGCCTCGCGTACATTATATGCCTCATGGCGTCCCGGATACATTTGGCTTCTTGGACCCCAGCGATATTATTCGCGGCTGCCATCTTATCCCAGCATTCGCTCACGGCCGCACTACACAATATCTTCCTAAATCTATGGCTCGACAGGCATCTGAACAAGACCAAGACTGGAAATATTTTTACGTCAATATGTAAGTAAGTTTTGTCAAGTAGTACACTTGTGTTTGACCAAGTTCATTCTAGGGTCGTCGATCGAGATATGATGATGCGGTATCACGACCGTCATTGGTCACCGCAAAACTCGAGCTCCAATAAGCAATCCCACAACAGAACAGGAGCAGATAACTGAAGAAGTTGTCGATGATGTGGTGGCTGATATGGTCGATGATGTGGTGGCTGATATGGCGGAGGAGGTCAATGTGGCGGCTGTTGTGGCGGAAGAAGATGAAGGAGAAGAAGGAGAGCCAGATGACTGGGTTGCAGAGGGTGCCGATTTTGATACAGATAGCGAGCATGAAGAAGATGAGGGTGGCGAAGACGAAGATTCACTCAGCCATGCTACCATTGTAAGCAGATTAGGTTATGATTCAGAATAATTGCAATGTGGTTTTATCGCGCCACGCACAAGAAATCGTTGGGTTTAATGATGAAGAATTGCCATTTCACTTTGTCAATGCCGCCTCCCACTTATCAGTGATACTTAGTGAGAAAAGGTCATCGGTCAGGTATAATACTATTGCGAGGGAGTAATAAGGATTTTCTATACGGGCAAAGGTTTTGGCTCCCTCATAAACCGCTTGTGGTCTGGTGGTAAACTAAACTGGACCTTGCCCGGTCTTGCCAGGGGCTTGTAGCGGGTTTGCTGGCATTTGTTGGCATCAAAACCTGATACATCAAACCGACACTTTTTGTGATGCACCCATCGATTCCTCCAGTTTCTTTCTCAGCCGCTCGTTTGGGATCCGATTCGTCCCGCTCTCCATGCTCCACACAGTGTCGTCTGTGGCACGGTAGACTGCAAGGTACACCATTGCGCTCTTGCGGTCTGTGGTGACAAAGGCAAGGTTACGCAGGTCCTGGCACACACCCCAGAGTCTCAGCGATTGAGCCTCGTTACGGACGTCATAGTTTCCCTCGAAAAGTTCGTAGCCGTAGAAGTAGCCAGAATGGGAATGGGGTTTCGGGGGTGGTGAAAGGGGTTCCGTTTCTTGGTCGGAGCTTTCTATGTTTCCAATCAGGCTTATCTGGAATTGGATAGACTCACAGGTGAGGAAAGTCCTTGAATTCCGAAAACCATGACATGGCAGCACACAAACAAGTTGTAGTTCCCGTGACCGTCACGGTACCGGGAGGAGTCTATTGACGATCTCTCAGGCTAAGTATGTGTACAGTACAAGGTACATACTACCTTTTACATCATGATATATGCATGATATTTGACTGATGAGGCAGTACTACCATAGTACAAACAAACAAACTCTACTTGAGGTTAAGATTCGCTGATTGCGGTTTATGTTGATACAGGTCTATCATCATGACTGGTCGCCTCCAAGCGCTCCGGAAACCTAACATTCTTCAGTGAGAGGGGGCTGTGATTGGCCAACATTGAACACGCCACGCTCGACAGCATTCTTCGAAAGATGATTGAGTGGGAAAAAGAAACCAAGGAACGACCACATACTGGGTACCACAAAAAGCTCCCGTCGTCCAGATGCCACTGTGGACCCTCTGTGACGCCCATTCCTTTCTCCAGCTTCTCTCTGAGTGCCTTATTTGGGATGCGGTCCGTTCCGCTTTGGCCGGCCGACGACGGCCTTTGCTTCAGTGCTGTAGGCCGCAAGAAGAACGAAGACCGTATTCCGCTCTGTAATGAGCCGGGCCAGACGACGCATGCCAGTCGCACAACTGATCTGATAGACCCGCTTCAGGTGAGTCTCGTTCCTTTCGGTCGTAGTCATCCATAATTTTGTACCCGTAAAAGTACCCAGCATCAGAGTGTGGCGGAGGTGGTGGCAGAAGGGATTCCGTGTCTTCTTCAGAGCTTCAAAGGGTTAAGACTCGTCAACCTATTGACAATATCTTGTACCCACAGGGCAGGGAACTCTTTCACGAAATCTTCGAACTGTAACATGGCGGTTTATGTAGAAAGTACATCAACTCTGATGAGTCTGATCATGAGTGATTGACAGGCTCGGACCGTCGACCGCAGTTGAGCCAATAAGTATCCTGGATATCCATGTATCATCATTATTATTACACACATATTGTATTACTTAGTTTGCAGGGTCGTGTTAGATGTAGACAAGTCCGTGAAATTGTATGTAGTCACCTCAAGTATGGTTATGCGATCACAGTAGAACGTGTCAAGGTCCTCCCCCATCGCTCCATGAATACGGCGTGCCACGTGACTCGATGTTTTGCGTTCCTTGAGTCATGTGCTTTGTTGAGGTCTGCGCATGCATGGTGACACGGACGGTGCTGCAGCGCTGGGCGGTGATGCGCCGGTGACGTGCGCTCGCGCGACGATATCGATGTGGTCTGCTATGTGGTCCAAGTTGGGCACATAGTGTACGTTAGGATCCCGCGGAAAAAAGGCTGAGACAACAAATCGTCCAGATGTAAGGTGGCCGAAAGCATTCGCCATTGTGGAATTCAAAACACGGGAGGCACTGAATGAATTTTCTAATGACTATGCAAGCAGAGCCATTTTTGTATGGCTCCAACATTTGATTATACCTGCATATAGGTGAGCAGCTGCAGTAGCCCATATACCACGTACGATTTACAGCATCCTATGCCGATTGACCTTGCCTCAGTTCCGAGTCGGTGTCAGGTCTGAAAACGGACGACGCACGGGGTACCAGAAATAACTTCCATCGTCGGGAAACCAATGTGGGCCTTCAGTAACACCCAACGATTCCTCCAGCTTTTTTCTCAGCCGCGCGTTTGGGATCCGATTGTTCCCGCCCTCCATGCTCCACACAGTGCTGTCCGTGGTGCGGTAGACCGCGAGATAAACCATCGCGGTGTCGCGGTCCGTGACGACATGGGCAAGGTTGCGCAAGCCCTGATGCACCGCAAAGAGTCTCATGCATTGCTCGTCGTTATTGACGTCGTAGTTGCCTTTGAATACTATGTAGCCATAGAAGTAGCCTAATGGTGATGCCTTCGGCGAATGGGCCTCCAAGGGGGGTGGAAGGGGTTCCGTGTCTTGTTCAGAGCTTCGAAGCAATTTACAATCAAGCTTGCCGTTCTGGGATTTGGGGTCGGAGTGGCAAGGACGCACAGGGCAGGGAAATCTTTGAGGTTTGAAAAAAAAGACATGGTGATGGTACACAATCAAGCTGGGAAAGTCACGGGGCCGGGGAACAAACACTCTACCGATTATCTCAAATCGCCCTTGACCACCATCGTCCTGTGGACTAACTTACTAAAAGTTACAAAGCTGGTCTAGCGAGGACATGATTGTCAGCATTGGCAGAACAGTAAGATATCAATAGTCCACCACATCGTAACCAGTACGAGCTCATACTATTGTTTTTATTTATCCCCGCTCCATACTGCTTTCAAAATGTACATATTTCAGTTTGGGTTAAGACAGTCAATACACGACCGATGGACACAGCGCAATTCAAACAGCTCACATCAGCTCCACCGTCTGGAACAGTCGCTCGACAATGTTAGCCCCTGGCGCGACATCGTCACCGGCGCCAAGCCACAAAAAATGCATAACAGCATAACAGCCCCACGGCAACGAAATGCCAATGATAATGTGCTCGTTGTGCAGCCCGTTGTTCACGACACCATCCCACCTTACTCGGAACTCCTGGTGCTCGTGGTAGCCCGGCTGCTTTTCCGGGGCACCGACGACTATCACCCCTCGAGGATTATCGACCTGTGTGAGTGTAAACGACAGGCAAGGGGTCCGCTCGGGAGGGTCGGCACGCCAAACGGGGACAATTTCTGCTTTGCGGCGACCGATTTCGTTCATGACTACCTTGCGAGTTGCGAATTCATAGTCTTCGCTTCCTGGCTGAAGGGCTGGAGCACGACCCTCTGATCACACAATGAATAAGTCTAGCAAACTGGCGAAAGAAAGCCAACCTGCTCGGAGTTCCTTCAGGGTTTTGCATTCAGCACGATGGGCACTCTTCCAATGGGCCTTTTGACAATCTTGCGAACAGTATGACACAGTAAAACAGCCACTGCAACTTGAAAAGTTATTGTTTGTATCAATATTGCGACACTGGTGCTGTTGTCAACAATAGTGCATACTCTCGAAAGAACAAACACACCGTGGAGCAACGCATATTCACGTCCATATCTGGAGAAATTGTACTCCGCTCTTTAATGAATCCTTTGAGCTGCTGATACAACTCATGAAATGTCTTGCTGTCCTTGAGCTTTTCCTCGAGATTGAGCTCCTCAATGCGTCGCAGAGAAGCCAGCAGTGGACGGAGGACGGATGGGTAGATCGTATACAGCGAGAGAAACTTGAGCAAGCCCTCGACCGATGGCTTTGCATCGCGATCTTCTGGCAAATCATCCATCCACTCTTGAGCACGCAGAAGAGCCGGAAGCAATCCAACTTGAATTGAATGGATGGTCCAAGCATAACCGGAGATTGACGGTAGCGTCCCATGCAGAAAGGTCAAGGCTGAAACAATCGCTTGTGCAATTCCTGTCGCAATGCCGTCGTCATACGTTGTCGAAGTAAGAGCAACGAGAATCCGAACGACTGTGCGGACACCAAATGCCGCGACTAGACTAGTTCGATATTGGGGGTAGATCACCATGTTGGAAAGCATTCGAAGATGATAGTCGAGGAGGAACAATAATGGAGGGCTCCATGGAGCAGGTTGGTCAAGGTAGACGCTAAGGTGATTAAGAGCGACACGAGCAGACTCGCGGGAGTCTTGTGAGTTATCGAACATGAGGCACCCAAAAAACAAGTCACTTGGTCGGCCAGGAACGTATGTTGTGATATCAAGAAGAGGCTCCGCCGCAGAAAGCAAGCGGTCATTCTTCGATGCATCTTTGAATTCGTCTCCATCCTCGAAAAACCAGCAAGAACCAAGCAGGCGGTAAACGGGGAGACCACCTTGGTCAGCGAGAAGAAGGTCGCAAATTGGAGGAAGCTTGATGAAACTGCGCAGGGAGGATATGACCATGACGAAGGCGTTATATCTGCCCGTCTCTGTGCCACCATATTCGAACTTGTACATAGGGTGGACAATCCAATCTTGGAACGTATATTCTAGCCACTTCCAGATGCCGGGCCAAGCTTCTACCAGTCGTGCAACGAACGGAGAGTCAACAGAGGGACGGAGAATGTAAGAGATTTTGGCGAGCATTTCGAGGGCGAATTTGGCGTGAAGTTGGCCCATAACCTGAGTCATTCAGCTCGAAGTCAAGTCACACTCAACAGCAACGCACATGGGTACAACAGCCCTTTTCTCTCAGAGGCACATCGGTTGCTTGGAGGTATTCGAGGCAGAAGGTGACGGTCGCATCGATGTCTTGAGGTGAAAGTTGTTGTGGGTCCAATGCATCTTTTCGCTGTGCAATCTTAGCGAGGGAGGCGTTTGTCAGACGC